GCAGGATCCGGTATTTAAATTTCTACGTAGTGCACTATGTAGGGAGCAGGGAGCTGTTTGAGATTCAGCCCCAGTGTGAGCACAGGGCGCTGTTAGCTTGGTGCTAAATAAGACTCACAGTGGTAATTTGGTGACCAAAAAGTACTTGTAAAGTGAATGTTTTTGCATTAAACAGTGCTGTGTTATCATTTGTTCTGAAGTCCACGACAGTGAGTTAAAAAATTCATGAAATGACCGCAGTGTACAGTGATGGGCAACCGAATGTTCCTCTGTTCCTCATGATAAATTCACAGTAACGCTCTGCCTCTCATGGCTTATTGATTAATTATATGTCTGTGGAAAACATACTTGCGTATTTTTAAACTGTTGCAAAACAAACATACGACTGTACATATATACACCTATATAGCATAACATTATGACCACCTCCTTGTTTCTATGCTCATTGTCCATTTTATCAGCTCCACTTACTATATAGGTGCACTTTGTAGTTCTACAATTACAGACTGTAGTCCAGCTGTTTCTCTGATACTTTGTTAGCCCCCTTTTACCCTGTTCTTCAGTGGTCAGGACCCCCATGGACCCTCACAGAGCAGGTACTATTTGGGTGGTGGATCATTCTCAGCACTGCAGTAACACTGACGTGGTGGTGGTGTGTTAGTGTGTGTTGTGCTGGTCTGAGTGGATCAGACACAGCAGTGCTGCTGGAGTTTTAAACACCTCAGTGTCACTGCTGGACTGAGAATAGTCCACCAACCAAAAATATCCAGCCAACAGCGTCCTGTGGGCAGCGTCCTGTGACCACTGATGAAGGTCTAGAGGATGACCAACACAAACTGTGCAGCAGCAGATGAGCTATCGTCTCTGACTTTACGTCTACAAGGTGGACTGACAAGGTAGGAGTGTCTAATAGAGTGGACAGTGAGTGGACACAGTGTTTAAAAACTCCAGCAGCACGGATGTGTCTGATCCGCTCGTACCAGCACAACACACACAAACAGCCCACACCACGTCAGTGTTACTGCAGTGCTGAGAATGATCCACCACCCAAATAGTACTTGCTCTGTGAGGGTCCATGGAGGTCCTGACCACTGAGGAACAGTGTAAAAGGGGGCTAACAAAGTATCAGAGAAACAGATGGACTACAGTCTGTAACTGTAGAACTACGAAGTGCACCTATATAGTAAGTGGAGCTGATAAAATGGACAATGAGGTGGTCATATTGTTATGCCTGATCGGGGTATATATATTGTATTGTATTAATAAAGTAGAGCTACTTTATTATGTCGCAGTCCTTTGGGCTAATTTGACATGCTGTTGAGAGACCAGCGGAGGAACGATTGATGACCAGTTTGAAGGTGTTTTAGATATTCTTTATGGCTTTGAAAGTTGTGTTTGCACTTGGATATAATTACCATACGTTGTTCGTTTGGCACAACTTGTTATTATTTATTATTGTTTATTTGTTTCAGTTTCGTTAACAAACATGTTCATATTCAGTTAATTCATTTCTTCATTTTGTAAACTCCCACTTTTCCTCTCCCACTCTTTCTCCCAAACCGCCCCCCCCGAACACATTTCAGACACAGAAGGTTTCACTGCTTTAAGCCCTGAATGAAGTCTATAATGGTACAGAATCAGTGATGTGTCTAATTAAAAATCACTGAACTTCTGTCTAAACAGAGACTGTTTGTTTGTGTGTGGGTGGGTGGGTGTGATGGGGAGGGGTTGGTGGGGTGGTGGGGGTGTGTTTACAAACACACCCAGAGTGAGAGGACCTGACTGTCAGGTTTAATTCTTCAGATACTTTTTCCTCCTCCCCCACTTTCTCTCTCGGTTTGTTCATCATGGCTTCGTGGAAGAAAAAGCTGCGTCTCGCCAGATCAGCCAACAAAAATATACTCAGACGTTTAGAGTAAGTCTTCCCTCTGTGTTTGTTTGTTTGCTTATTTGTTTCTCTCAGTGAGGGGCAGCAGTGATGCCTCTCTGGTGTGGACGATGCTCACAATATCCTGAAGAACATGAGAGTGTAGCAGACTGTGGTTCCTGATTCCTTACTCACCAGCTTTTTATTCAGATGTTATGATCATATATACCCTGAAGTTAAAAATCTATTTTATATTTTATATTTCATTCAACATCCCTAATTTCCTGAAGCTCCGGTGTAAATCTGAATAGTTTTCTGAGCTGCTGTGTTTGTATTAATGTGTTTCCTCAGTTTCAGCAGGAAAGGTTTGAATTTTCAGTAGTTCCTGCTCCAGTACAGTAGGTGGCGCTGTTATAGGAAGTTATAGAGAGTAGAAACGAGTTCGCAGCTCAGAATTAGAAGAGATTTTCTGAAAAAGCCACACGACCTTCACAGCGAGGAACCGACTCACTTTAATTTAATCATATATCTTTATATATCTATATATTTAATATCTGCGTTTTCCAGTATGTGCAGCATCGTCAATAAGAGACTTTATTGATGTTATGTTTTTTATTTCTCATCTGTCTTAATAGCACATTTGTATGTAGCACCAGATTAAGCCTTGATGCAGGAGTCAGCTAAAGCTAAAACACTGCTAGATTAATGATAAAACACAAAATTGGCCTGTGCGTAATTTACGGCACATTTAAAATGTTATGTGTTTTTGTTATTTTAAACAGATAAATAGAAATCGTGCACTGAAATGTGCAGAAGAATGTGATGTTTAAGTTGTTCTCTGTTGAGGAGAGTCTTATTTTCACAAGTCAGATCTTTAGACTGGGGTGTTCAAACTTTTGCATGTGACTGGGTGTGTGTGAGTCAGTGAGGGTGCTGAGGTTTTTCACCGCTACATCTGATTCAACTGAATTCATTATTTAATATATATTCAGACAGTGAGCTTGAAGCCTCTTTCGGACGTCTGTTTTGTCCACATTAAGTAGGATGTAAGTATTTGCCTTTAACTCTTTGATGTTTTCAGTATAAGCCTTGATATTATTAAGTGTGTTGTTTCTTGTCTGGCTTGACTGATACATTTGTGTGTCATCAGCATCACAGTGGAAGGTGATGTTTGTGGATATCAGCGTCCAGTGGCAGCATGTATTGAGAAAATAGTAGTGATCCTACAACAGAGCCGTGTGGCACACCACATTTTACTTTCGTATGTAGAGATGTTTTTCCCCTTTTATGTTATACATTGATAGTTGTAAGTTCTAAGTCTGTTAAAAGTGCCATCGCGCTGACCCTGAAAAGATTTTGTAGCCTGAAAAAATGCTGAGATCAAGAGTAACAAAGTGTTGAATCTTTAGCAGTGCAATCTCTGAACTGTGATGAAGCCTAAATTCTAACTGGTTTGCCATGCATGTGATTTCTATGTAAGTATTAGCTTAGCCTAAGGGTTAAGACTTAAGGCTTCTCTAAGATTGTAGAGATAAAAATAAGATTTGAGATCAGCCAATAATTGTACGGTTTACAGACATTGATGTAGTATTTTTTCGTTGCTAATTTAAGGGTTTTAGGAAAGTAGCCAAGGCTGAGAGAATAGTTTAGAGGTCTGACTGAGTAAACTCATAGGAACTGAACTGAGTAGACAAGTAAAAGATTTTGAGAAGATGAGCAGAGCATCATTCATCGAAACTTTTAACATTCTTGTGGAGTCCCACAGGGTTCAGTTTTAGGGCCTTCTTTTCTCTTTGTATAGGTTACCTACTTGATGTTATTAGGAAACAGCTACACTGATGACACACAATTCTACTTTTCCACTCCTTCTAATGACCAAGACTGTTTACAGGTTTACCAGCCTTGTGTCAGATATTTCTCTAAACTAAAATCACGAAAAACCTAAAAATACTGATCGTTGGTACTAAAACTCAGAGAAAGCTGCTTTATGAGAATCTCAGCTCTTTATCTTCATCTACCAAACCTGCAGTAGAAACCTGGGTGTGATCTTTGTCTCTCTCAGAGCGACGCAGAGAAACCTGTAGCTGCGTTTGTTCAGCAGAGTTGATCACTGTAATGATCTTCTTACTGGAGAAAACAGTCCATCCTCTACAGCTCGTACAGAACGCCGCAGCACGGATCCTCACAGCACCAACACAGAGAGATCACATCACCCCGTTTACACACTGCACTGACCGCCTGGATCTTTTAGACAGATTTTAAAGCTCTGCTGCTGGTTTTTAAAGCTCTAAATGACCTTAAAGCTCCTGAATGTCTGTCTGTTTATGATCTTACATCTGCAGATACTGACCTTCTGTAAATGCCTTCAGTAAAACACAGAAAACGTGGAGAGACTCTTTCAGTTATTCTGCTTCTAAACTGTGGAGCTCAGTTCAGCTTTTATTAGACAGTCGAGCTCAGAGCTCACTTTTAATAAACATCTGAAAACGCAGCTCTTTAACTCAGCGCTCCATTAAAACTCTGCTCTTTATCTGTTTAATCTGATCTGTGTTATTGCCACATATGATTTTAAATTAATACTCGTAGTTTTTCTGTTACTGTTAAGTTTTATCACCTGACTATAAAACACTCTTGAGTTGAATCTGCTATGAAAAGAGCTCCAGAAATAAAGATATTATTATCATTAAAGTTATTATTACCTACTGAACTGTGGAAAAGATTCCAGCTGTTCTGAAAACCCTGATCGTGAAATTAATCAAAGTGGTTGTTTTTGTCTTTATTCTACTACAATACTGATAAATTATTATCAGTGATCAATTAATAATGATAGTATATATTAATAATAATATAAATTCTTATTGTGTGTGTGTGTGTGTGTGTGTGCGTGTGTGTGTGTTGTTCGGCAGTGTTATTTTCTGTTTTTGATTGGAGATTCCCCAACTGTCACCTGATAGCCTGATAGCTCACACCTGAGTAATACACTTTCAGTTTTCAACACACACACACACACACACACACACACCCACACACACACACACACGCACACACACATACACACAGCTTTTAGACTGTTCTTGTGATTATTATGGTATTAATCCATTACAGTCTGACTGATGTTTATTTTGTCTTTCAGAGCTGAAAAAACTGAAGTGTTGAGTGATGATCTGCTCCAGGTGAGTGTGTGTGTGTGTGTGTGTGTGTGTGTGTGTAGTAGAGCTCTGCTACCTTTGTTTGGGTTCATTCTGCTGCCTTTCAGGTTCAGGCTGGTTCAGGTTTCAGTGTTAGCATTACCAGTCAGGTCTGATTGGATCGGGTCTCAAAGGTTTTGCTTGGGTTTGGATTTCATGGCCATGCAGACCTTTACAATGTGGAGAAAAAGTAATAATTCACTGTAGCAGTGAGTACACTGCAGGACAGAAGGGGGTCTACAGTGCAGTGCAGTGATATGGGGAGGACAGAAGGGAGACTACAGTGCAGTGCAATGAAATGGGGAGGACAGAAGGGGGTCTACAGTGCAGTACAGTGATATGGGGAGGACAGAAGGGAGTCTACAGTGCAGTGAAATGGGAAGGACAGAAGGGAGTCTAGAGTGCAGTGCAATGAAATGGGGAGGACAGAAGGGGGTCTACAGTGCAGTGCAGTGAAATGGGAGGACAGAAGGGAGTCTAGAGTGCAATGAAATGGGGAGGACAAAAGGGGGTCTACAGTGCAGTGATTTGGGGAGGACAGAAGAGAGTCTACAGTGCAGTACAGTGAAATGGGGAGGACAGAAGAGAGTCTACAGTGCAGTGAAATGGGAAGGACAGAAGGGAGTCTAGAGTGCAGTGCAATGAAATGCGGGAGGACAGAAGGGGGTCTACAGTGCAGTGCAGTGATATGGGGAGGACAGAAGGGAGTCTAGAATGCAGTGCAATGAAATGGGGAGGGCAAAAGGGGGTCTACAGTGCAGTGATGTGGGGAGGACAGAAGAGAGTCTACAGTGCAGTGCAGTAATATGAGGAGGACAGAAGGGGGTCTACAGTGCAGTGCAGTGAAATTGGAGAAGACAGAAGGGAGTCTACAGTGCAGTGCAGTGATATGGAGAGGACAGAAGGGGGTCTTCAGTGCAGTGCTGTGATATGGGGAGGACAGAAGAGGGTCTACAGTGCAGTGCTGTGATATGGAGAGGACAGAAGGGGGTCTACAGTGCAGTGCAGTGATATTGGGGGACACCTGTGTCTGTCTGTGTTGCAGGTTGAGAAGCGAATGGAGCTGGTGAAGCAGGTGTCCCACAGCACACATAAGAAACTGACCGCCTGTCTTCAGGGGCAGCAGGGAGTGGAAGTGGACAAAAAATCGGTCAGATCTCCATCGGTACGTGTGCCCGTATTTGTGCATATATGTTTGCTTTCTTTATATTTTTGCAGCATTTATTGTTCTTATGTCATTAAAAATGAATATATAAAGTTATTATAAAATGATTTTACCGTCTACAGACTTTAAGACGGACGTGTTTCCTGGTTGATGGAATTTGATTATTTGCTGAGGTGTCACTGTGAGGCTGCTGGTTAAGTGCGGCGAGATCAGCTGTATCAGTCTCTGTTTTTCTTTTTACATGCAGAAAAAACTGCCCCTCACGACGCTTGCACAGTGCTTAGTGGATGGAGCGGCTGTTCTGGGGGACGACTCGATGTTGGGGTAAAAACCCACCCACCAACCCACCCACCCACACACACACACACACACACACACACACACACACACACACACACACACACACAAACACACACACACATGCGGTACTCTGTTGTGTCTGTTGAAGAGCTCTACCGCTGCTCTAAAGCTGCTCTACTGCTGCTCTACTGCTGCTTTTCTGTTGTTTCCTTCAGGATGGTTTTGCTGTAGCCCCGTTTTTGAATGGCAGACAGAAAGAGCAGTTTGAGCTCAATTCTTCTGCATGTTGGTCAAACAGCTCTTTCCCCTAAAAGTAACAAGTTCTTGGCCAGATGAAGGAATAAAACACTCCAGACTCTTTACGAGACTAAAATCAGATCCGGAGTGAAACTGAGGAAGCAGCTTTAAACCTCCTGCAATCAAAGAGCTGTTTTCACTGCTTAACTTCTCCTGGATGGTTATTGTGGTTATATAGACATATATTTGTATCGGACGTGTTACTGTAGCACAGAGTTCACATTCTTCTGCTGAAAACTTTTTTTTTTACTGAAGACTTTCTCAGGACAGAATGTGTGCGCTCCACATAGCATCTTAGCTTTATACGTCACAGATGAGCTTAAACTCACCGCAGTCCAACACACTGAACAGACTGATGAGAGAAACCTGCAGATTCAGAATAAGTGCTACCTTACAGTATGAGACATCAGGCTGTGCAGTTAGCCATAATAAATAAATGATGGTGTTTAAAATGATGACATGTCAATTATGTTTCACATCTGTCTGATAAACTCAGATATGGAGGAGAATTTTTTTTTTGAGGGGTTAGGGGGTAGGGAAGTGGTTGGGTTTGGTAAGAGGACAATTACAGGTTGAATAATTATGCATATTCATAAATATTCACACTCCTAATGAGGATTGAGGTTTAGGGATGCCATTTTTAGTAGTTTTAGAAAAAAAATTACTGGTTTATTTTTCCACATAGATAAATTTTTATGATTTAAATTGTGACTTTACTGAATTTCTGTTGTCATTTAGCCAAATACAGTGTGCTGCAAGTATGTAAGTTAATGATAGTGACTGATCTGCATCACTTCACATAACAGCATATTTATCTGGACAGTCTCAGAACGTTGATGCTGTTGGTCTCAGTTTCTCTGTCGACGTGGTTGCTGTTTATTGCCTTTGTAGAGCAGCACAGTCTCCAGTCGTTGACGAGTCCACATGTCCTGATGAAGCTGGTCTATAAGACCAGTTTTCTGACCAAGATCTCAGTCGTCTGCAGAGCTCCTCTGAGGAGGGCGCTCCTCTCGCATCCTGATGGTGTGGCAGTGGTCTGGGCTGATGGAGAGTGAAGGTGCTGGTCCACTGTGAGACGATGCTGACGGATCACTTATCAAAACACTCTGGACACTGAGCTGTTTGAGGTGATGGCTGTGAAGTGTCCGTGTCTCACACCTGTACCGGAGTGTGGATGGAGGTGCTTCTGCCGGAGAGAACACTGCAGGTTCCTGGTCTGATCCAGTTGTGAAGGTCCTGGTGGTCTTCAGGGACGAGCAGGACGGTTCTGTTAAGTGGAGAGTGCCATATAGAGAGGGTTATTTGTTCAGGTGGGAGCTGGATGTCCATTGATTTATGCTCTGGAGATGCTGACAGTCCCGTCCTGCTGTCCTCTCACAGCCGCTGTAGGAGGGGCTTACAGTTCAGCTGGAGTGGACTCATCAGCGCACTGCAGCCGAGAACGTGTCCTGACCTGAATCCTGTGGTATCTTGAACGCTCCGGCTGTCAGAGTGAGAAATAGTGTTAAAGCGAACACGTGGCCTCGCCTTGCTCTGAAACTGCCTCAGGATGTTTACACACATGCTGGGACCACCGTGGAGTGCAAGGACCATCTAAAGAACACCACTATTTACAGGAAGACGTCCACAAAGGACAGTAATGTCCCCTGGGTTGGTGTAAGGAGAACTTTGACGAGATCGCTCAGGTTTTATCTGGTCTTTTGTTCAGGTTGACCCGTCCTCACAGACATGGCAGCTTCCAGCCTGAGCAGGCGGTTCTCCAGGACCAGGTTCAGGAACGTGTGCAGTTCTAGATAAAATCCAGAGTCACGTCAAAAGTGATCATGTTGTTTATCAACTCTGACTGGCCTGAAACTCCAGCAGGAGTCTGATCTCCTCAGCTGTCGACTCTGATCGTCCCAGAATCTGCAGAATATGAGCGAACCGGCCCGACTCGGCCTGAGTGAGACTCAGAGCTGAAGATGTTTATATAAACATAATCATCACTCTGATACAGCAGAGACTCTCAGCAGGTGGAGAGTAAACACACCATGGAAGAACCACATTTGGTTCCCCAAAGAACGATGTTTGAAAAAGGGATTTGTGAGTGTGAAGAACCTTTATAAAGGTTTATAGAACCCTCACATAATGCAAAGGTTCTATACCAGTATAATTTACATTATATTATCTTCTTCATATCTCTGAAGGTTCTCCTGGACAGCAGTGAGATCAGACTAAAAGATACAGGAGACTCTCTGCGCAGATGTTTCTCCTCAGTGAGCTCTCGTGAGTTTTAGTCGAGATCTCAGTACAGTCTCACATTCAGCTCAGAGTTCAGCATAATAATAACAATATTTATCTGAACTGAATTAAAGCCAGAAACTCATCCGACACTCAGAGCTTCTTCGTTTAGACATTGTAACTATTATATATATTATTAACGTTTACCTGAAGTGACTCGCATTTCCTTTCTGTCTAATATTTGAGGAATTGTAGGAGAATCATTATTCAATGTGAGCCATCAAAGATCCAGACTTTCCTCTGGGGTTCTTCAGGGAACCACAAGTGGCACTGAGCAAAGAACCCTGTGGCTTAGAGACTGTGTGTGTGTGTGTATGTGTGTGTGTAGGAAGATGCTGAAGCTCTGTGGAGAGACGCAGGACCAGCTTTCTCAGGAGCTGCTGCTGTTTGAGGTGCAGATGGAGAGGGAGGTCATAGAGCCGCTCTACACGCTGTCTGAGGTCTGAGATCAACACTGTTACACAAACACCATCATATTAATGCCTGTAACCCTTTATTCACACACACTTTATGCTTTATAATTATTATGTTCATAAAGTGTCCTACACAAAATGAAAGAACATCAGGGTGTGATTTTGTCTGTAAACAGCGATAAAGATTCAGAACCTGCAGTTCATTCAGTCCAGACATGAAATATTAAACTGCACAAACAGTTTTCAGTTCGCTATAATAAACTGTGTGATGATGACGACGACTAAGCCACCGTCACAAAAAAAAAACACAAAAGAAAACCACAAAGAAAATGTACACTTAACTTCAGATCTCGGGGGAAGAAATTCAGGACACACGTGCTGAACAATGTGTGTGTGTGTGTATATGTGTGTGTGTGTGGGTGGGGGGGTGTTGGTGTAGAAACCACCTGAAGCTAAAGGCATAACATTACGACCACCTCCTTGTTTCTACGCTCTTTGTCCATTTTATCAGCTCCACTTACTATATAGGTGCACTTTGTAGTTCTACAGTTACAGACTGTAGTCCATCTGTTTCTCTGCATACTTTGTTAGCCCCCTTTTACCCTGTTCTTCAGTGGTCAGGACCCCCATGGACCCTCACAGAGCAGGTACTATCTGGGTGGTGGATCATTCTCAGCACTGCAGTAACACTGACGTGGTGGTGGTGTGTTAGTGTGTGTCGTGCTGGTCTGAGTGGATCAGACACAGCAGTGCTGCTGGAGTTTTTAAACACCTCACTGTCACTGAGGTGAGAATAGTCCATCAACCAAAAATATCCAGCCAACAGCGTCCTGTGGTCAGCCTCCTGTGACCACTGATGAGGGACTAGAGGATGACCAACACAAACTGTGCAGTAGCGGATGAGCTGTCGTCTCTGACTTTACATCTACAAGGTGGACTGACAAGGTAGGAGTGTCTAATGGAGTGGACAGTGAGTGGACACAGTGTTTAAAATCTCCAGCAGCACTGCTGTGTCTGATCCACTCAGACCAGCACAACACACACTAACACACCACAGTGTTACTGCAGTGCTGAGAATGATCCACCACCCAAATAGTACCTGCTCTGTGAGGGTCCATGGGGGTCCTGACCACTGAGGAACAGGGTAAAAGGGGGCTAACAAAGTATGCAGAGAAACAGATGGACAGTAGTTCAAGTATTTATGTAACATTTCACGGTTTACAACAGGTACCTCTATTCTGCTTTTGCAGTTTTGTAGCATATTTTGAATAAACAGTGGTCAGCGTTTGATTAAAATGTTAATTAAAGTTGAAATAACAACACAGGCGTTTTCTGGCCAACAAAGATTTTTTTAACATGGCATTTTAGTTGTTGAGTGTGATCGCTCTGATTTATATGATAAAACACAAAAAAAAGCAAAAATAATAATATAAACTGACAAATAAAGGAAATTAACATTTGTCTAAAAATCAACCTGATTATAGGAATGATTCGGTCAGTAATGTTAATGCTAAGGTTGCCAGAAAAAGTGAATAGTCATCGATTAACATTATTAAGATTACATTGTACTAATTAGGGGCTTTTAACATGAACTCTAATAATATCAGCATGGATTATTAAAATGTTCTTCTAAAAACAAAACAATAGAAATGTTTGTAGGATTATGTTAAGTGCTCAGAGCGTCAGTCGCTCAGAGTGTCAGTCAGTCGAATGAATAAATAAACTGAGGAGCTGTTTCTGCGGTGAAGCTGAGATTATTCAGACGCTGAGTTACTGTTTATCTCCTGATTCTCTCACAGGTTGAAATTCCAAACATCCAGAAACAGAGGAAGCATTTAAGCAAACTGGTGCTGGACATGGACTCTGCTCGGACACGGTGAGGAAAACACAGGACCAGTCGCTCTCAGACCACTGTCACTCCGGACCACCATCATCAGACTGAGCACAGTCTGACTTAGTGGATCATATGAACATTATAGAGCACTTTTTAAATGAAACAATAGAAGCCATATCGCCCCCTACACTTCCTGTAGTGTATTACAGTCGGTCAGAATGACTATGAACATTATAGAGGCTTTTTAAATGAAACAGTAGAAGCCATATCGCCCCCTACACTTCCTGTAGTGTATTACAGTCTGTCAGAATGACTGTGTGGATCATATGAACATTATAGAGCTTTTTAAATGAAACGATAGAAGCCATATCGCCCCCTACACTTCCTGTAGTGTATTACAGTCTGTCAGAGTGACTGTGTGGATCATATGAACATTATAGAGCTTTTTAAATGAAACAATAGAAGCCATATCGCCCCCTACACTTCCTGTAGTGTATTACAGTCTGTCAGAGTGACTGTGTGGATCATATGAACATTATAGAGCTTTTTAAATGAACCAGTAGAAGCCATATCGCCCCCTACACTTCCTGTAGTGTATTACAGTCTGTCAGAATGACTGTGTGGATCATATGAACATTATAGAGCTTCTTAAATGAAACAGTAGAAGCCATATCGCCCCCTACACTTCCTGTAGTGTATTACAGTCTGTCAGAATGACTGTGTGGATCATATGAACATTATAGAGGCTTTTTAAATGAGAACTGTAATAGGGAGGGAGAGAGAGAGAGAGAGAGAGAGATAAGGTCAAAATGGGTGTAGTACAGAGTAAGACTGAGGTACAGATAAGAGAAGTGTAGATAAGAAAAGGGGGAGGAGCCCAGAGGTATCTAAACAGAACCTGTTCAGCAGGAACATCTACAGCACGGTTAATTCACATTTAACCTCAGCAGAACCTCAGCTCTGATTGGCTATCGTGCTGCACGGTGTTTGTGTCTCTGCGCAGCAGAAACAGCATTAAAATGTGTTCATCAGTTTTTAATGAATGTACATTGTGCAGTGAGTGTGCAGTGTGCAGTGAGTGTGCAGTGTGCAGTGAGTGAGATGTTCTGTTTATGGACAGATTCACCACTTTGTTTCCGTGAGTGAGTTTGTTTTAGAACCAACATGTCAGACAGTGACCTGTGGTTCAGTCAGTTAAGAGTCTCTTTAAGTTCTTTACTACATTCTCACCTACATTATTATCCACCTTCTTCACCACGTTCTTCACTGTTCTTCACTGTTCTTCACTGTTCATCATGTTCTTTACCATGTTCTTCACCATGTTCTTCACCACGTTCTTCACTGTTCTTCATCAAGTTCTTTACTATGTTCTTCACCATGTTCTTCACCACGTTCTTCACTGTTCTTCACCATGTTCTTCACCATGTTCTTCACTGTTCTTCACCATGTTCTTCACCATGTTCTTCACCACGTTCTTCACCACGTACTTCACTGTTCTTCACCATGTTCTTCACCATGTTCTTTACTGTTTTTTACCATGTTCTTCACCACGTTCTTCACTGTTCTTCACCATGTTCTTCACTATGTTCTTCACTGTTCTTCACCATGTTCTTCACCATGTTCTTCACCATGTTCTTCACTATGTTCTTCACTATGTTCTTCACCATGTTCTTCACTGTTCTTCACCATGTTCTTCACCATGTTCTTCACCATGTTCTTCACTGTTCTTCACCATGGTCTTCACCATGTTCTTCACTGTTCTTCACCATGTTCTTCACCATGTTCTTCACTGTTCTTCTCTATGTTCTTTACTGTTTTTCACCATGTTCTTCACCACGTTCTTCACTGTTCTTCACCATGTTCTTCACCATGTTCTTCACTGTTCTTCACCATGGTCTTCACCATGTTCTTCACTGTTCTTCACCATGTTCTTCACCATGTTCTTCACTGTTCTTCTCTATGTTCTTTACTGTTTTTCACCATGTTCTTCACCACGTTCTTCACTGTTCTTCACCATGTTCTTCACCATGTTCTTCACTGTTCTTCACCATGTTCATTACTATGTTCTTCACCATGTTCTTCACCACGCACTTAACTGTTCTTCACCATGTTCTTTACTGTGTTCTTCACCATGTTCTTCACCACGTTCTTCACCATGTTCTTCCCCACGCTCTTCATCATGTACTTCACTGTTCTTCACCATGTTCTTCACCATTTTCTTCACTGTTCTTCACCATGTTCTTTACTATGTTCTTCACCACTTTCTTTACCATGTTCTTCATCACGTACTTCACTGTTCTTCACCATTTTCTTTACCATGTTCTTCACCACGTACTTCACTGTTCTTCACCATGTTCTTCTCCATGTTCTTCACTGTTCTTCACCATGTTCTTCACCACGTACTTCACTGTTCCTCACCATGTTTTTTACTATGATCTTCACTGTTCTTCACCATGATCTTCACCATGATCTTCACCATGTTCTTCACCATGTTCTTCACCATGTACTTCACTGTTCTTCACCATGTTCTTTACTATGTTCTTCACCATGTTCTTCACCATGTTTTTCACCACGTACTACACTGTTCTTCACCATGTTCTTCACCATGTACTTCACTGTTCTTCACCACGTACTTCACTGTTCTTCACCATGTTCTTCACCATGTTCTTCACCATGTTCTTCACCACGTTCTTCACCATGTTCTTCACCACGTACTTCACTGTTCTTCACCATGTTCTTCACCACGTACTTCATTGTTCTTCACCACGTACTTCACTGTTCTTCACCATGTTCTTCACCATGTTCTTCACCATGTTTTTCACCATGTTCTTCACCATGTTTCTTCACCATGTTTTTCACCATGTTCTTCACCATGTTCTTCTCCATGTTCTTCACCTCATACTTCACTGTTCTTCACCATGTTCTTCACCATGTTCTTCTCCATGTTCTTCACCTCATATTTCACTGTTCTTCACCATGTTTTTCACCATGTTCTTCACCACCTTCTTCACTACCTTCTTGACTATGTTCTTCACCACCTTCTTCTCTGATGGTGGGTAAAAGTCTGGCTTGCAGGACTGAAAGATCTTCAAAGAGTGCCATCAAGTGTCCACTATAGATGGACCGATGGACTTCAGAAAGTACAAAAATCTATTTTCATGCCGCTCTTCTGAAAATGAAACTGTCCTCTGACCTGTAGGTGGCACCAGTCCTCCAAGTCTTCCACTTTGTCCATTAAGGAGCAGCCGGTAGGAGCTAAAGCCGACGCCCTGAGGGAGGAGCTGGAGGAGACAGCCAATCGCGTGGAGATCTGCAGGGTAAAAAAGTCTATTGGAGATTCTGTTCTCTTTCATCTGCTTTGCATTCTTTTCCAGATGGAGCTCCGGAGTTTGAGGAGTTTCTTCATGTTGCATCTGTTTTTGCTGTTTTTCAGGATCAGCTCTCAGCAGACATGTACGGTTTTGTGGCCAAAGAAACTGACTATGCAGAATATTTCCAGATGGTGCGTATGGGAGCTTAATACTGCTAAATGTGCTGATTTAGCTCATGCAGCGCCAGGCTTATCTCTCTCTACCTGATATTCTCTCTCTCCAGCTGATCGAGGTACAGGCAGAGTACCACAGGAAGTCTCTGGAGCTGCTCCAGAACGTTCTTCCTCAAATTAAAGCGCACAAAGGTGAGAATAAGAGGTTATATTTATGTTCCTAACATCTCAGTTTGATCCTGAGGTCCAGTACTGTGTTAAAAAACATGAAATATCTTATTAATAAATTAATAATGTGCTGATAAACGAGTTTATTTGATGTTAAATTAGTCTCAGTGATATCAGCTGAACTAATTAGAGCTGAATCACAGTGATGTTGATATGGAGATGACCTGAGCTGAGTTGGGTTTGTGTGGACGTTGCAGAGTTGTGGGTGGAGAAGCCGTGTTTCGGGAAACCGCTGGAGGAGCACCTGAGCCTGACCGGCCGAGACATCGCCTTCCCCATCGAGGCCTGCGTCACCATGCTGCTGGACTGCGGCCTTCAGGAGGAGGTACAGTACACACTGCTCACCTGTACTCACCTGTACTACAGTACACACTGCTCATCTGTACTACAGTACACACTGCTCACCTGTTCTCACCTGTACTACAGTACACACTGCTCACCTGCAGTAAGTAGTAGATGTAGCTGCATGTGCTTTAATATTTTATTTGTAAATTTGGTTTATTTGGTTATTAACTGTAAATATGTATATTTCTATTGTTATAACTGATCTATACTTAAAGATATTCTATTCTTATGTTACTAATATTTTATCTCTATATATTATATTATTCTATATAGGTGTATGATTTATTCATGCTGTATTTGTTAAATGCTGTACTGCTGCAGCACCTGCATCTCCCACCAGGTCTTAATAACATGGTATCGTTTGTTCTGGTCTGTTCTGTTATGTTCTCTTCTTCTCTGTTCTGCGCTGTTCTGTTCTGTCATGTTCTGTTCTGTTCTGTATGTATAAATGTGTGTGTGTTTTTCAGGGTCTTTTCCGAGTAGCTCCCTCTGCCTCTAAGCTGAAGAAGCTGAAGGCCTCTCTGGACTGTGGAGTTCTGGACGTGCAGGAATATTCAGTTGACCCTCACGCCATAGCAGGTGTGTTTTAGAATCTGTTTTATAATTCAGGGGACGGTTTAGTAAAACTGGCACTATGATTGCTTTGATTTACTTCTTTAAGTGCATTATGTTCATTTTTATAAATGACAGAAAATCAAGTTTTTACTTCTTTATTATTTTATACTGATATATAAAATAATAATGCATATATGTGCAGTAATGACGTACATGTACTGTGTTGATCTCTACATACCCCATCTACATACCCCCTCTGCATACCCCTCTCTACATGCCCCCCTCTACATGCCCCCTCCACATGCCCCATCTACATACCCCCTCTACATACCCCCCTCCATATACCCCATCTACATACCCCCTCTACATACCCCCTCTACATACCCCCCTCTACATACTCCCTCCACATACCCCCTCCACATACCCCATCTACATACTCCCTCTACATACCCCCTCTACATACCCCCCTCTACATACCCCCTCTACATACCCCATCTACATACCCCCCTCCACATACCCCATCTATATACCCCCTCTACATACCCCCCTCCACATACCCCCTTCTACATACCCCCCTCCACATACCCCCTCCATATACCCCATCTACATACCCCCTCTACATACCCCATCCATATAGCCCCTCTACATACCCCCTCTACATACCCCATCTACATACCCCCTCTACATAACCCCCTCCACGTACCCACCTCTACATACCCCCTCTACATACCCCCTCTACATAACCCCCTCCACATACCCCCCTCTACATACCCCCTTCTGTATACCCCTCTACATACCCCCTCCACATACCCCCCTCCACATACTACCCTCTACATACCCCCCTCTATATACCCCCCTATACATGCCCCCCTCCACACACCCCTCTCTACATACCCCCCCATAGACACCCCTCCACATAGCCGCTTCTATATAGCCCCCTCCACACCCAACACCCCCACCACTCCCGTGTTACCCTTCAGTGCTGGTTCAGGATCAGCTCCAGCTCTGCTAATGACGACCCTGTTGGTGTGTTGATGTTCTGCAGGTGCGCTGAAGTCTTACCTGCGAGAGCTTCCTGAGCCACTCATGACCTTTCACCTCTACGATGAATGGATACAAGCATCTAAGTCAGTCACTAAAACGATTGATCACTGTTGATTATTAATGAATAATGACTTAGTTATAGTTTTGGTCATAATGTGGGTTAGTTGTAGTTTTGATTGTAGTTTTGGTTAGTTGTAGTTTTGGTTTTAGTGTGGGTTGTAGTTTCAGTTGTAGTTTTGGTTAGTTGTAGTTTTGGTTTTAGTGTGGGTTGTAGTTTCAGTTGTAGTTTTGGTTAGTTGTAGTTTTACTTGTAGTTTTGGTTAGTTGTAGTTTTGGTTTTAGTGTGGGTTGTAGTTTCAGTTGTAGTTTTGGTTAGTTGTAGTTGTAGTTTTGGTTAGTTGTAGTTTTGGTTTTAGTGTGGGTTGTAGTTTCAGTTGTAGTTTTGGTTAGTTGTAGTTGTAGTTTTGGTTAGTTGTAGTTTTGGTTTTAGTGTGGGTTTGAGGTTGTGTGTTTGCCTCAGTGCTCTGTGTGGGTGTGTTGTGTGTTTATTATTGTATTATAATTGTGATCCTGTGTTGTTTGTGGGTTGTTTGCTGTAGTGAGCAGGATCAGGAGAAGCTTCTGCAGGCTCTTCTGCTAGTGTGTGAGAAACTGCCCAAAGCCAACAGCAACAACTTCAGGTGAGTTACAGCACAAGATTTAGTCGACACAGTTCACACTGTTTAAATAGCTCATCTATCGAAAGTGTGACTGTCTGAAAATGTTTCTGTGTGTCATTTCTTTAAGAGTAAAAGCTGCGTTAAACACGACTAATGTAATGTCCTCAAAATCATATGTATTATATTTAGTCTATTAAAATATTTAATTTATGAATTACGTTAATATATTAGTCAGGGCTTTGCTGACTGATATAGATATTTTCTGTTATGTTTGGGTGTATTTTAGCTCTGATCTATCAGAGCGGGTCTGTTTTTTGCAGTAACGGTTCTGTTTCCTGTGTCCAGGTATTTAATAAAGTTCCTGGCGAAGCTGAGTGAGTTTGAGGACGTTAATAAGATGACTGCAGGAAACATGGCCATCGTCCTGGGACCCAACCTGCTGTGGCCTCAGACAGAGGGGTGAAGACTTATTCACATTCACTCGTTCACATCATTCACTCTTTCACTCAATTCATTAATAACATTCAACAAATAAGTAAAATTGTGTGATTAATTACATGGTAATTTACCGTATATGAAGCTCTGGTATTATGAGACTGTGTGTGTTCGGAATTCTGAGTTTTGTTTCTTTTAGTTTCCAAAAAAATTCCATAATCATGACAGAATGTGACTCTGCTGGTTTGAGTATGAAGTGATGAACGTAAAATCTCTGTTTGTCTTTGTTCTCAGGACTATAACGGACATGATGACCACTCTGTCCCTGCAGATCGTGAGGATCATCGAGCCCATCATACAACACGCTGACTGGTTCTTCCCTGGAGGTGAGAGACCAACACTGACCAGCCACAGTGTCAGACTAACCAGTATGACCAGCCACAGTGTCAGACTGACCAGTGTGACCAGTCACAGTCTCAGACTGACCGGTTTAACGAGTCACAGTCTGAGACTGACTATTGTGACCAGTCACAGTCTCAGACTGACCAGTATGACCAGTCACAATCTCAGACTAATGTGTGACCAGTCACAGTCTCAGACTGACCAGTTTAACGAGTCACAGTCTCAGATTGAGCAGTGTGACCAGTCACACTCTCAGACTGACAAGTGTGAACAGTCACAGTCTCAGACTGACCGGTGTGACCAGCCACAGTGTCAGACTGACCATTGTGACCAGTCACAGTCTCAGACTGACCGGTGTGACCAGCCACAGTGTCAGACTGACCACTGTGATCAGTCACAGTCTCAGACTAAACAGTGTGATCAGTCACAATCTCAGACTGACAAGTGTGACCAGTCACAGTCTCAGACTGACCGGTTTAACGAGTCACAGTCTCAGACTGACCAGCGTGACCAGTCATAGTCTCAGACTGACCGGTTTAACGAGTCACAGTCTCAGACTGACCAGCGTGACCAGGCACAGTCTCAGACTGACCAGTGTGACCAGTCACAGTCTCAGACTGACCAGTCTAACGAGTCACAGTCTCAGACTGACCAGTTTGACCAGACTCAGAGTGTGTAGCTGTTCAGTAATCTCTGATAGTCTGGACTATGTGGTTTAATACTGACTGTCTCTGAAATCCATTACGTTTATAAATGATGGTGTCTTTTCTGTCAGATATCGAGTTCAATATAACAGGGAACTATGGGAGTCCGAACCACACCAACCACAACTCCGTCTACAGCTCCCTCTGCCCCGACACTGACCGCGCTGACCGCTCTGATTACACTGACCACACTGACCACAGACTGGAACACAGACGGCCACTCAGCGTCGCCACAGACAACATGATGCTGGAGTTTTACAGGAAAGACGGGTAGAACTTCATTCAGACTCCATTTAGACTGTTCTCCATCTATGTGTTCTCCATCTGTGTGTTCTCCGTCTATGTGTTCTCCATCTCTCTGTTCTCCGTTTCTGTTCTCTCTCTGTTCTCTGTCTCTCTGTACTCCGTCTCTCTGTTCTCTCTTTGTTCTCTGTCTCTCTGTTCTCTCTTTGTTCTCCGTTTCTGTTCTCTCTCTGTTCTCCGTTTCTGTTGTCTCTCTGTTCTCTGTTTGTGTTCTCTCTCTGTTCTCTGTTTCTGTTCTCTCTCTGTTCTCCGTTTCTGTTCTCTCTCTGTTCTCCGTTTCTGTTCTCTCTCTGTTCTCTGTTTGTGTTCTCTCTCTGTTCTCTGTTTCTGTTCTCTCTCTGTTCTCTGTTTCTGTTCTCTGTTCTACTTTTCTGTTATCATGTTTAAATTCAGGCTGCTGATGTTTGTGTTGTAAATCTGTAGCTACTTTACTGATTTTTTTTTTTGCGTAAGGGACGTGTTTCATAGTTAAAGAACCGCATACGTTCTCACCTAGCAGAGCTCAGCTAACACTCCATTCAGATCGCATTTGACTTACAGAGCCTTCTCAGTGTGGCTGACAAAACAGCTGGAGTCACATCTGTAAAGGTGGAGCTGCAAATTTCACAGTTCTAAAGAAAGCAGGTGTTGTTCTGTCAGCACAGCTGACTGACTGAAACCAACAGATACCATTTATTATAACTAAAACACAATAACATCCCAATAAAACTGCTCATAAACAGAGTCAGGGGATGTTTTGGTTCTTTGGGTTCCACTATTATATAAAATATTATTATAAATGAGGAGGAAGCAGTTCATAGATTTACATTATTTTCCTCATACTGTTCATCTCTATTCACCCTCTGTCTGAAACGCTCTGTTAGAGCTCCCTGCCTCCCGATGAGCCCAGTGTGCTCTGATTGGTCAGCTCGCCCACTCTGTTCTGATTGGTCAGCCTCCAGAGCAGTTCCGCCCCTCCATGTTCCGCCCCTGTCCTACAGTCTGCAGACAGACCTTTCTCTCCTGAGCAGCTGTAAACTCCGCTGTGGCTGTTTCTCCAGTGAGGCGTTTCAGGCAGCTGAGAAAAGTGGATTCTGTGGGAGAGAGTTTCTCCCTCTGGAGGGAACGCTGAGCTTTGGGACTCTGCAGAACGTTTACATGCATAAAAGCTACAACACACTGAAAGAAAAAGAAAAAAAAAACAGAAAAGCGTAACAGGTCTTTAAATTTATATTAAAACACTGAAGGCTCTTATAGACGCACCTTGTGTTCTTTTATTTCCCTTTTATTTTCACTCTCACTGTTTAAATGTGTTTAACTGAAGCTTTTCTCCTCCTAATGCAGCATCAGGAAGATACAGAGGTTCGTTTATCGTCTCACTCACAACCACAGCCGTCGTTACAACATCAGACCGTCTGCACTTACACTGAACCTTCTGTACAGACACCTGTAACCATACTAGATACAGAAACAGACAGAGAGCTACGACACTGAAGAGCAGCTCAGCATTTATCAGGAAATATGACATGAAACTGGAACATTTAACAAAACAGAACCGAATGAATGAAAACGAGAAATGAATGAATGAAGAGGAAGTACAAGTTGAGTGATTGTGAGAGTGTGAATGACTTTTAGCTCTAATCCCAGTGATCTAATTGACCTGCCTGTATATGGGAGTGATCTGATTGGCCATGTGAAGTGATCTAATTGGTCAGTAAGTGATCTAATTGGCTGTGTGAGTGATCTGATTGGTCTTGTGAGTAGTCTGATTGGCTGTGTGAGTGAGCTAGTTGCCCAAGTGAGTGATCTGATTGGCCAATCGAAGTGATCTGATTGGCCGTTTCCATGGTTTCAGTATGGGAGTGCGTGTGATGGACAGCTCCTGGGTTTCCCGCAGAGGCTCTTCTTCCTCTTCGTCCCAGAAGAGTTCGTCCACGCCTCCCTCTGATTCACTAATCCCAGAGCAGCTGGGGGAAAGCTCCAGCTCCCCCACCCTAACTCCACCCCCTTATAGCAGTGACAGGACCAGGTAAGAGACCCCGGACCCCAGACCACCCCACAACCCTGCAGTGCCTAAGATTCATACCATACCGTCCTCATCCTGACCCCTCTGAGTTCTCATTTTAGTGCCTGTCTGATTTTTAGTGGAGGCCTGTGCAGGGCAGATTCTCTAGTCCCACAAGATTTCATTCTGTTTGTCCCGCTCCTGCCTGAAACCCAAACATTTTGTCCCGCCCACGACCTAAACCTTCTGTCCTGCTCCCACTCGCAGTCCCGTATAACTGGTTTCCATCGTGTTATTCATGAATTAAAATGACGGCCATCAGTGGCAGATCTACAAAACTTTACCAGGAGTGGCACTGAAAGAAAAGAGAGACAGAGAAAGACAGACCAAGGGAGAGAGAGAGAGAGAGAGACAGAGAGAGTGAGAAGGCTCATACACTGTGCTGCCCCCCCTTTTGTTGAGCTCTGGAGCTGTAAGGCTAATGTAACTAATAGGCAGTAGAAACCCACCAATTAGCATCACTTGTCCATTGTCCATTTAAAGGGGAACTCCACTAATTTTTCACATCTCTGCACAATAATTAAATAGTTAAGATGTAAACAGAGTCATTCAGAGTGGTTTGGTGTGAAACACTCTGTTCTAGAGAAACTTCGGAGTCAGAACTGTTCACAGTAGTGGTGATAGGAACCAGACGTCCACCTCTAAAAGCTCCCTCACAGAAAGTTCCTACATGAAATGGTTATGAATTCACTGCCGGATGACTGAGACACTTTGTTTTATGATAGTTCTGAGAAACTCCATTCATGGTGGAGGGATACATGCAGGGCGCTGTGAGGCAAAATAGTCCCCAAAGAAAACGTATTGTTTCAGATTTTCCACTATTTTATCATCCACATTCCATATAAACTCAGAAGACTCGTGTAGGTTCACTGGTGGTTCTGGATACTAAATAAAATGTCTATATTTGTGTTGTAGTCATGGCGACCCCTGGTTCCTATCACCACCACTGTAAAGACATCTGAACCATTTCACACCAAACCACTCTGAATCACTCCGTTTACATCTCACACACTGAATTATGGGGGGAAAACTGGTGTAGTTCCCCTTTAAAACAGTAGCAAAGTTATACAACTGCAGTAACATTAGCTCTCTGGCCCTTTATTATTATAACCCGCCTCAAATGTTTTACATCACAGTAAATTTGACCATTTATTAATAAATGCATAACATAAACCAACATTAATAAATTAGATAATAATAATTGGGACATTCCAGTTTGCAAAATTCTGTCTCATCAGTCATTTCAATATTTACGCTTTGCTATTTTCCATCTCACCCCTCATCTGCACCCCCTGTAGTTCATTCCTGCTCCGCTAGGGGGCCTCACTGTCTGGATGTCTGTGCTGAGGTCAGGAGTGTCCAGTCAGCTGTTGGAAAGACCAGCTGATTAAAGCAGTAAAATCAGGAGCTTGATGTGGAAAGACTGGACGCTCCTGATCTGTAGGCTGTTACAGCAGAGCAGGCGTGACCACAGCAGACGTTCTGACCTCTTCTCTGATCTCTGATGGACTTTACTGTGTGGTGTCTGACGCTGTGTGACTCACTGTTATATATAAACATAGACTAAAGGACATTATTAGAGCGAAACACAGCAGAACGAGAACCTGAACGTTGTGTTTTAGTTCATGTTTATAGAAACAGAGTCAGTTTAGTTACTTTAGTTGTTGAAGATCAGTAAGTGTCCAGTGTTTCACTCACTGGAGTGAAATATATACAGACTGAGATTTTTAATGTAGTTAAAATATGTTTAGTTTTATTTACTTTTGAAATTTTTACTCATTAGACTTGTTTAATATTAAATTATGAATAAAGCCGTAATTAATCAGAAGGTTTTCTTTGATGTTTTTGGGAAGAGAGATTTGCTGATGGATGAAAACAGAATAAGGTTTTTGTGCACGACAGCTGAAAACGGTGAAACAGCAGATCTTCTCCTGAACTTCACGCCACAGAGCTGAACATCGGTCAGAAACGTCTTTAGGCCGAATGTTTGGTCAGTTCGCTTCCTCTGGCCGTGCCATGTTCCTGTGTCCTTGTTGAGGTGGTTTCAGTGGCATCATTGCGAAAGTGCTCCGTGTAAAGCAGTACTAAAGTTTAATCCGCGTCCTGGTTTTTATTCGGTATCTGATGAAGGACGTGCAGCCGGAACGTCATGATGATTTTAATGAACAACTAAGATTCAAAATAATTAATAAATACAAAATATTTATTTATTTATTAAAACTTTATCCTTATGAACTTCATTAATTTTTGTACATAGACACTCATTCAAAATTTGATGCTGCAACATGTTCCAAAAAAGTCATTACAGCATCATGTTTACATTGTGTCACATCAGCTTTACTTCAACAGCACTTAATACTCGTTTGAGGACTGAAGACACAAACTGATCTAGTTTATTTATTTATGAGCGTCTTCAGCTGTACGGTTCAGCCGTACGGTTCCTTACTGTCGTATTCTGAGCTTAATCACACACTCATGTTCAGTGTGAGACAGTTCTGGGCTGCAGGCAGGTCAGTCTAGAACCTGCACTCTCTGATTACACAGCCGTGCTGCTGTGGTACGTACAGAATGTTTCTTGGTGTGTCATGTTGAAATAATCCTGGATTATGCTGATGAATTTTTTTAGAGTGGTCTCGACCGTCCTCACTCATTAAGGACTCGCCTCTCCTGGAGGCTCCTTTTATACCCAAGCATGATTGCAGCACCTGTTTAAGATGTTCTTTGAATATTTCACAAGGTTCCTTGGCTTAAACTGATCCTGTCCCAACTTTTTTGGAACATGTTGCAGACATCAGTTGCAGAATGAGTGTATATTTACAAATGAAACAATGAAGTTGATAACAAAACACAGTAAATATCTTGTCTTTGTGCTGGTTTCATTCAAATAAGGTTTAAAACAGATTTATAAGTCACTGTTTTCTGTTTTTCTTTCCGTTCTACCTGCTGACCCCACGATTTTGGAACTAACTTTATAATATGCTGGCAAAGTGTATCTGTTAGGTGAAAAGTTTGGCTTTTGCTGCTTTGTGTAAACTTTATCTTAAGAAGTTTTGTAGAGTCTGTAGTATTCTTTCATTTTTCTTCATTTTTCGGAAGCCTCGCGCGGGTCTAAAGCTGCGCTCACACCGGATTTCGCTTGGTTATTTTCTCCTCCGGAAGTAGAGCAGGAGTCGGGTGAGTTTGGGTGGTACCGGAGTGATGAGGTTCTGGATTGATGAGGTTCTGGAGGGAACGTTTGGTTTGGTGAACATTAGGAACTTAATGAGAGATGAAACAAAAAGGAGATAAACTAAAAACATTTTTTTAAAGTTTGGTTTGATTTTATTACTTTGGTTTGATTTTCTTGTTTTGTGCATTTTGCTTGATCTATTTTCACACTGAGCAGATTAAGGAAATAACCATTTAAAGCAAATTTATAATTAATTTAAACGTAAATTGTATCTTATGTCGTTTATAAGTAGATCTGAAATGTAACATTATATTGTTTATTATTAGTGTGTGTGTGGGTGTGGTGTGTTGTGTGTGTATTGTGTGTGTGTGTGTGCTTTGTAGTGTGTGTGTATATTGTGTAGTATGCATTGTGTAGTCTGTGTGCTGTGTAGTGTGTGTTGTGTGTGTGTGTTTGTGAGTTTGGTGTGTATGTTGTGTAGTGTGTGTGTGTTGTGTAGCGTCTGTGGTGGAGTGGCTGTGTGTGTGTTGTGTGCGTGTGTGTTGTGTTTTGTCTGTGTGTGTGTTGTGTGTGTTATGTGTGTGTGTTGTGTAGCGTGTGTGTGTATGTTGTGTAGTGTGTTTTGTGTGTGTGTTGTGTAGCGTGTGTGTGTATGTTGTGTAGTGTGTGTGTGTTGTGTGTTGTGTGTATGTTGTGTAGTGTGTGTGTTGTGTGTTTTGTGTGTATGTTGTGTAGTGTGTGTGTTGTGTGTTTTGTGTGTATGTTGTGTTGTGTGTGTGTGTTGTGTAGTGTGTGTGTAGTGTGTGTGTGTGTTGTGTAGAGTCTGTGGTGGAGTGGCTGTGTGTGTGTTGTGTAGTGTGTGTGTGTTGTGTGTGTGTGTTGTGTAGTGTGTGTGTGTTGTGTGTGTATGTTGTGTAGTGTGTGCGGTGGAGTGGCTGTGTGTGTGTTGTGTGTGTTATGTGTGTGTGTGACGTGTAGTGTGTGTGGTGGAGTGGCTGTGTGTGTGTTTTGTCTGTGTGTGTGTGTTGTGTGTGTTATGTGTGTGTGTTGTGTAGCGTGTGTAGGACTTTCTTCTGTTTTTATATTATGACTCATTTTGGTGTGAAAGAATCAAATGTCCAGTGTTGCTCAAAGTGGACACAAACCTGATTGCTATGTTTTGGTTAATCTCACTTTTTAAGTCTTTACTTTTTATTTTCATATTATTTTCATTTATTACGTGTAATCGATTTATTGGAGGGGGGATTGCAGGACCGTGACCAGTCCTCCTTACAGTGTGTCCAAAATAAGAGTTTGAGTTTTAATTGCGTCGATTAAGACTTTCATGAGAAACTCTGTAAAATCTTCACACTGACTGAATGAGTAAAAGCAGATTCTCTTAAAGAAAATCATTAGAGAAGAATTCACTAAAATAACAGCTTTAAAATGCATTAAAGTATGTTAAAAATAAAACAGTATATCTGTGATGTGTTTTATTTTGTTTTATTGGTGAGCTGAATGATCATTAATTATTAAGTGTTAAGTTTCTGTTCACTCGTCTTACTTTATCTGAACTTTGATGCACCTGAACCTTTACAAGTGTGTGTGTATGTTTGTGTGTTAGTGCTGGGAAGAGTAAGGAACTCTCACCTGTGATTGGACACAGAGGCCTTCAGGTGTCGCCCACTGTTGGACACACACAGATATCTGACCACAGCCTGCACAAAGGTATTGCCCACTCTGTGTGTGTGTGTGTGTGTGTGTGTTTGTATGTGTGTAAACAGATGTGTGTTTGTTGTTCAAACAAAAACGTTCCAAAAAAGTCGGTACAGGATCATGTTTACACTGTTGCATCAGCTTTTGTTTAACAGCACTTAATACTCGATTGGATCACAAACTGATCCAGTTTAGAAAGTTTTTTGCCGTTCTTCTGTTATACAAGTCTTCAGCTGTTCAGCTGTACGGTTCCTTCACTGTTGTATTCTGGCTTAATCACACACTCATGTTCAGTGTGAGACAGTTCTGGACTGCAGGCAGGTCAGTCTAGAACCTGCACTCTCTGATTACTCAGACGTGCTGCTGTGACACATGCAGAATGTTTCTTGGTGTGTCATGTTGAAATAATGCTGGACGTCCCTGAAAAAGACGACGTCTAAAAGGCAGCATATGTTGCTCTAAATGTGTTCAGTGTTCATGGAGCTTTCACAGATGTGTAGGTTACCCTCTAATACCCACCCCCCCCACACCATGACAGATGCTGGATTTAGGACTTTATGCTAGTAATAATCCGGATGGTCCTTTTCTTCTTTGGCCTGGAGAACATGACGTCCATTACTTCCATAAACAATCTGAAAGACCACAATACAAGTTCACACTGAGCATCAGTCCATTTCAGATGAGCTTGAGCCCAGAGAAGTTGCCGGTGTTTCTGATCCTTGTTGATATGTAACTTCCACTGTGCGGAGTACAGTCTTAACCTGCATTTGTAGATGCAGCAACGCATGGCTTTTCAAAGTATTACTGAGCTCATGTGATGATCTCATCATAGAAACATGTCGGTTTTAATGCAGTGACATCTGAGGGGTCGAAGGTCATTCAGTTGTGGTTTTGGCCTTTTCCTTCTCTGTTGATGATATTTTGCACTGTAGAGGATGAAATATGTAAAATTACAATCTCTCACTGATGAACGTTATTTTTATACTGCTGGATTTTTTGCTGATGCGTTTTTGTCCAAGTGTCTCGACCGTCCTCGCTTACAAAGGACTCGCATCTCCTGGAGGCTCCTTTTATACCAGAGCAGGATTGCAGCACCTGTTTAAGATGTTCTTATAACATTTCACAATGTTCCTGGTCTTAAACTGATCCTGTCCCAACTTTTTGGTGTTTAGGCATGGATTGCAGAATGAGTTTATATTTACAAACAAAACAATGAATCTAAAATGATAAAACACTAAATATTTTTTCTTTGTGCTGGTTTTGATTTATAAATCACTGCTTTCTGTTTTTCTTTGCGTTTTACCTGCTGTCCCAAAATGTGTTTCTGAGTCAGTGTGGTGTGACGAGTGTGGTCACTTTATGCACTTCCATGAGAAAAAATTCAAGCCAAAAGTGAAAGCTGTGCTCTGATTACTGCTTATTGTTCATTTCTCTTTCTCTTCTCTCTCTCTCTCTCTCTCTCTCTCTCTCTCTCTCTCTCTCTCTCTCTCTCTCAGTTAAGAAACTGGCCCCTGTTGCTCCTAAATCTCCGTACGCTCAGTCCGGCAGTATGTCTGACCCCTCCCCCGGTCAGCCTTCACCGGTCAGCCTGTCCCCGACCCCCCCCACCACACCGTCCTTCAGCTACCCGCAGGTCTACGCCACCATCAGCTCTCCTGGACACAGTGCCCCCGGTGCCCTCTCCTCCCCACTGCTGCTCTCTGCCACCCTCCCTAAAGCCCGACCCATCTCCAAACCCCCCCGACACAGGCCCAGTCTGCCTCCGCCCCGCCCCCCCAGCCCCCCATCTGTGGAGCCCTCTGGCACCGCCCTGCTGGACACAGTGAGCCCAGGAGAGAGCATGTCCACAGGTAAACACCAAACACCCCCCAATTCCTGAAATATCCAAACACCTAAAGCCTCTGTAACACAACATCTTTTAAACAGCTCATATTATACAGTAGAGCAGAACAGCTGCAGGCTGAGAGGGTGAAATAATCTAGAAATATTAGAAATATGAAAATCTGTTTAATTTTGGGGGAAAATCTATCAGTAAAAATTAATTATGTGTGATGTACAGAGCTCTTTTTCAAACCTGCCTTACAGACTTAGTATCTAAATTCACTTAGTTATTTCACCTCATACAACTTCAGAGTAGCTGCTAATTTATTAGCTAACAGTTCTGATCAGTTAATCATGCTTTATTAATAGTATTAATAATTATTAATTATCATCAATACTAATATTTACAGTAGGTGTTAGTTAGCTGGCTAGTAAAATTAGCTGACAGTCTACCTCGCGTTTGAACACCAGAGTGTCCTGCTGTCTCACCTGTTTGTTCAGATGTGAGGTAAAAGTGATGTTTCACGTTTAAACACTGTAATTCACTACATAAATACTGTAGTACTGAAATATTTCTACTGTATTCCTTTATAGACCAAAAACCCCAAAACATGCAACCTGGACGCTGCTGTTCTTCACTCGGTTTAGTTTATGAATGTGATAAAAGGGAGTTTTGTTTGTGTGGATTTGTTACCTCATATTTTTTGAGTAATTGCTAACAGTAATAATAAAAAAGCTGCTTTACAGACATCAGCAGTAAAGAACAGAGTTCAGTGTAAAGCACAGCAACAACAACAGAAACAAAACTGAGGGAAATCAGAAAAAAATCACATGAACAGAACAGAAGGAAATAAGATGAGAGATAAAGAATAAAGACTGATCACAGTTAGGGCAGCTGTTGGTGGATCTCTGTGAAAGGAGCCTCTTCCTACAGCATTTAGGTCGTTTTTGTGTCCTCGTTTGACCTTTAACAGTCCATTACGCCCTCTACAGCTCAGTTATGGTAGTTGCAGTCGCACTGAACTTAAGTGTTCTTATATTCTTCTTTTTATTTTTCTTCTTTGCTGCTCGCAGCAGTTTGAGGCCAGTGGCTTTTATATGAGGGGTAAGCAGCTCTACCTCCCCAAACATCGTCTCGATCACTGTGTGTTTATAATTGCCTTCACATCGCAGGACAGTGGTCATCAACTCTGCTCTTACAGATCTACCCTTCTGTAGATGCCCAGCTCTGAACTAACACACCATATTCATTATCTGATTATCCGGATCAAGTGTGTTAGATTAGCGTAGGAACTAAACCTAGAGAACCTAGAGAACAGAGAACAGGGACGGTTCTCAATCAGCCAGTCCAGATTTTTGTCCGTAATTTAGCTAAAGCCTTCAGGTGCTGGAGAACTCTGCCAGACTCTGCTGTGTCCAGAGGTGAATTCATTAAAACGTGGACTGGCCGGGTGTCCTGAGCAGAACTAATGCTACACGTCATAATGATAAACACAGAGTTGCCAGTTTATTAGGTACATTATCTGGTAGCGTGACACGCCTGTTTTGGCCTTCAGAACCGCCCGCATGAACTGACCTGGCATGGATTCTAGAAGATGCAACAGTGTGGAAATGACTGTGTTGGGCATTTAATGGAAATTAGGCAGCTGCACAGTTTTGCTGTCTTGCTCAAACAGCTCTTTCCACCTCATCCCAAAGACGCTCAGCAGGGTTGAGAGTCAAGCTGAAAACTCACCGTTACGTTTCTGGAATCATTCTGTGATGTGAGGAATAATCACTCTGGAAGTGACCATCTGAGTGGATACACTATAAAGAGCTATGAAGAGATCAGCAGCACGGCTCGGGAACCCTATGCCGTTTAGATGTTCTTCAGTGGGTATCAAAAGTCCTAATATGCATGATGTGCAAGTGTGCTCACTGACCCCTAGTGTGTGTCTTCACTAATGTGTATGTGGTGTTTCACTGCACGGAATGCGGAGGTGAAATTTCCCCATTGTGGGACTAATAAGGGTCACTTAGTCTAATCTTAATCTAATCTAAAGACAAAGTCAGTGAAGGAACCCAGCAGTGGAGTGACATGAGATTGAAGACGAGCCGTGCTTTCTGGATCAGCTGAGGGGCCTGATTGGTCAGCACAGGAACACCAGCCAGGAGCAAGTCCTGCCTTGAGATGGTCAGAGACTGACGGAGCACCTGGGAGGCCTTCTTGGAGAGAAACGCTCGAAAAGGAGAAAGCTGCTGGCCAGGCTTGCAGTTTGAGCTGAGAACAATAACTGACAACTGGTCATCCAGAATCTCACCAAGGCTTTGTGCATCGTCAGATTGAGTGACCAAGGAGCTCTCCAATGAAATGGTAAGACTATGGTGAAGACCTGTAGATCCAGGGATGAACAGCAGCTCAGTCTTGGTGGGATTCAGATTAAGGTGGTGGGCATGAAGAAATGTCAGCCAGACATGATGAGGTGCACCTGGAAACCCGAGAGTCAGAAGTCTGTTGAGTGTTAGCAGCACAGCAGTGCTAGGAGAGCACTTCCCTCATTAGATGGTGAGTTGATAGAGTTCTAAACTCTGCAGAGCTGCAGCTCAGAGGTGCCCAGTTTGACACTCAGGGTTGACGTTCAGTCTGTCGTGATCCGCCTGATTCAGCTAATAAGCACCTCCAGATGATCTTGGTTCAGGTGTGTTAGATCTGGGCTGGAAGTCTGCAGGAAGGTGGGTCATGTTTTTACATTGCATGCTTGTCTGTATGTGCAGTATTCACCTATTATCTACACCCTGCATGGACATGACCTGCCATGCATGGCTTCATGTCCTTTTTGGCCACCAGTGATGTGTTTTATGAGGTGATGATTCCACTTCACCACTGTTGCTATGCCTCCGAAGTTTTCTTCCTCTGATCCAAAATCCGGAGGGTTAATTTCCCGCCAAACTGTACCTCATCCTGGAGCCTCGCTGGCTGCCTTCCTCCATACTGCACGCAGTACTGATCAGTGTGGAATAACCAAATGTATAATTAAGTATCATTAATTTTGATGGACAAAGGAAATCATTTTGATGAGTGGAGCGTTGGAAATGCGGCCTCAGGGTTATTGTTATCCATTTCTCCATTCAAAAACTATTAATATGACTGAATGGATGAGCTGAATCAGGTGTGTAGAAACAGGTAAAACACTGCATTGCAGGAACCCACTATTTGCTATTCTCTGCATTTACACTTATTGTGTGTTATATTTTCATCAAAACGTTTGTTTTCATCAGTCATTCATTTTTGCTGATTCTGTCCATGAAAGTCTCTGTTTCTACAGCCAGCTCACTCCTGCACGGTGGTGTTAGTTTGCCTTAAATTTACTATTGTTTATGAATAACAAATACAAAGTGGCAACAAATATAAGCAAACAAGTGGGGGTCCTAGAACAGAGCCCTGTGGCACACCATAGTTTTCTTTCACACATACAGCAAAATGCGGTTTCACCTACACTATAAACTAATAGTCAGTTCATTTGACTCCAGCCAGGTTTTCTAGCCTGTCTGCTGTAACTGTGTGATGTATGTTGTTAAAAGCTGTATGTTGAGATCAGACTGTATGAGTAAAGTCATGTAAGAGTAAAAGATGATCCTCAGCAGTTCTGATGAGACCTGACTGAAATATTTAATGTTATGTTAACGAGCAGAACACACCGCGGAATCTGAGTCGTCTCCTGATCTGCTGTATAAAAGCTCACTGCTGTACTGAGCTGCTGTAAGTTTGTAGTCAGAGGTTACTGTGCTGAGCTCAGCCGCCATGAGACATCTTGACGAAAGGAATAATAAAACTAAAAACAAATATGAGCTTGTAGTACAACGAGCTTCACATGGTCAGCGTCTCAAACCTGCTTCAGTTTGATTAGTGACCTAAAAATAGAGCAGAATCTTCAAAATTCCTTTTTCATGTTTCTTGTCATAACAAGGTTTGAGAACATTTAATTAAAAAATCCCAGATTTTCAATAATGTGGTCTCAGACTTTTGGACTAAACAAACAACTGAATGTTAAATTCAGTACAGACACATCAGCCCTCACTGCTTCAGTGCAGAGATTATTATTATTATTATTATTATTATTATTATTCAGAACTAGAACAGCTCAAACATGTTTGTTATAATGTTCTGTCATTTGTTTAGCTGTTCAGTGATGTGACTGACACACTCCCTTCTTCTTCTCTCTCATTTCACCCTGTTCCTTTTTCTCTCTCACATTTTCTTGGTTTCTGTTTTTTGCTGCTGTAGATTCTGTGCTGAGTCCAGATCTTCCCATCATCAACATTCAAACAGATATCATTCAGGACGAGAGCGCTAGCGCCCCCATCAGGACGCCTGGAACGCTGTCTGAATCAGAGGATGAATGTGAGAGCACTAAACTCTGACCTGATGAGAGTCCATTACATTCCAGTTCTCCGCTCTCCATTAGTGTACCAATCACTCCTCCAAACATTCACCAGCTCCGCCGACCAACCCGACTGCAGAAATGTCGTTACACAGAGCGAGGATTAAAAACGAGAGTTATGTGTAAGTTATCAGTGTAACTAATATAAAGGAATCAGTGGATATTTTTTTATTGTGGCCTACAATTATCAATGTTTTATTTATTTATTATGTTTATTAGCTTTATCTGAGATGTTGCAGTTGCCTTGAAATGAGCATTTGACAGTTCAGTGAAGTTACTGTTGTTTGTAATGACCTGATCGGTCAGTCCGACATGAGATTCAGACCGCCTCAAACTGTATTTCTGTAATAAACGACACCAACTTTACAAAACATTACTTACAAATTCTAAAGAGCGCCACCTAGTGCTGAATGTTAGTGTAGTCTGTATAAATAACTACAGCAGCTCCGAGTGGACACTGTCTGTACCGTCATCAGCACCAGGTTTCAGACCTCTGCGTCCGCTTACATGACTATTAATATTTACATTAATAATTACACCAGAACATAGTTGACAAGTCTACATTTACGTCAGTGCTAAGTACTTCATTAGTAGCCGATACTGGCGGCTAAACTCTTTCAGTGTAGTTTAACTTCCAGTTCTGAGTGGAGTTGGTTTCATGAATTATTTCCAGACTAATGAAGAATGTTTGGTTTCATGTTTTGCAGAAAAACAGACCTCTTACATGCTAGTTTAGCTCTCAGGATCAGATGTTAGTGTGAAAGGATGTGGCGCTAAATGTGCCTCGATACGGTCGCAGTCTGAGCAGCATACGGTTTTAATCACGTTACAGATGTTGGTGGATGGACAGTTGGGAGTTTTGCCAACTTATCAGAGCTCTGATTGGCGTAGTGCGTTGTGTATGTGAGGAGAGAGAACTGAAGCTCAGTCTGGCAGTGGTTCTACCCACTACACTAAACTGACCACTCCATCACACTACAGTGTAGAATTTCACCTCTGCAGAAGGTTTTAGTGGGGAAATATGTGCCAGTGGTCATTAGAGGGTTGGCCTCATAAACTGAACGCTAATTTTGGACGCATTGTCGCATTAAGGCACCTTTTTTTCATAAGTACATCTGAGTGTTTATCTGTCAGTGGAAAAATATTAGTCATGTCTGAATGAAGTGAACAGTTTGTATCCGTCACTTAAGTGCTTCTCACTAATGTTTCCAACAACTCTAATTCTCATGTACAAATTCAGTCTGTATATAGAAACATGTATTTACTCTATCAGAGATAAAAGAATATCTAAGAATATAAATATATATGTTAACATGCTGGTGGTATTTTTAGTATGTCCACTACACTGACCACACTGCAGGTTCTTATTCACTGCTCTCAGACAGGCTTTATGATGAGATTAAGGTACTTTTATTTTGTTCTTAGCTCCAAACAGTGCAGCACGCCTACTAATTTAGAGTTCCAGTCTGAATCTCTGGACTCACTTTGGACTGACGTTCTGTGATGTTCACTGAAGTTCTAAACTGAGCTGATCAGTCTGCTGTGAATTTAAGGTAACATTAACAAAGTCTGCAGACGTTGTAAACCAGTCTGCATTGATCTCGTGTTCCCCTCACAGCCTGAAATAAGGTAGGACATTTTTTAAACTTCAACTCAAAAAATATAAGTAAACACTTCAGTACGCCAGGCCTGTAGGGGGCGATAGTACCTTGTAAAATGTGACGTCATACGGCTGTAGAGGAACAATGTGAGCACTGCTGTGTCTGATCCACTCGTACCAGCGCAACACACACTAACACACCACCACCACATCAGTGTTACTGCAGTGCTGAGAATGATCCACCACCCAAATAGCACCTGCTCTGTGAGGGTCCATGGTTCCTGCTGGTGGCTAATAATCACCCTTCTGGAAATAGACTATTAGAACCATTAGGATTAAAACCTAATGGTTTTGCTTTCTAATGGGAATTGGCTTAAGGATTACCACTACTTTCCTGTAGGACACCTTTAGATGCCACTTGGAAACCATCAAATGCATCTATAATCAGAACACCTGTTAAACCATTAGAGTCCTTTTACACTATGATATCAACCATCTGGAGAACAAAGAACACCATTAGAGACTTTAAGACACCAGCAAGAACCAGCAGAACCATTTAATGTTTTCTCAGAAATGCAGGCGCTAAGTCTGTGTGACCAGTAAGGTCCAGACGTTCAGTCCAGAGAAGATCGGAGATTCAGAGTCGGCAACTCTGTGTTTGTAAAATTCTGTTAAACGCCTTTAGACTGAAATCTAAAGCTCGTCTGATCTGAAGACGAAAAAGTCCAGTTACTCTCGCAGCTCCTGAGGATTTACGGCTTAAATCGGTTGACCTGATGTGAACTGACCAGTCTGTCCAGTAGGGTATTATTTCCACACTGAATGTAAATGTAAACGTCATTAAGATGAGTGAGAAACAGCTGCAGTGGAACATTGAGATTTATAATAAATAATAATCAAAACAACCTCAACAGACTTTACCTCAGTGTTCAGAGGCTCATCAGCAGGAACGAAGGCCGTCAGTCCATCAGTCCATCAGAGCCTGAGTGTTTCTGCCTCCACAGAGTTCCTGTTCATCAGAGAATCCGAGTTTCTGCTCTGACTCTGTAGATATTAGCGCAGTGCGGCGCTGTGTTGTGCCATAAAATGACCAAAAACACAATTAAATTAAAAACCGCTAATCAGGGTTATCGTGGCGGTTCCAGCAGGTGAAAATGACCTAGAACCAGAACCGTACGTTCTGTTGGTTCCTTGTTAGGTGAGTTGTTTTTTTAAAGTGCAGGAAATGGCTCTGAATCACTATCGCAGGTTTAAAGAGGGAAACTTTCTCAGTATCAGCTTTAACGTCGAACTGAATCAGGTTCAATTTGTCTCTTTGATGTTTGTCGTGATTTGCTGGTTTGGTAAATTAAGAAAGTCACACTTTGATGTTTTCAGCATGTTGATGTGAAGCTGAAGGTGAACTGAGTGTCAGTTTGTGTTGATGGTTGTGAAGAAAAAGCCACTTTAGATTCTCGTCTGTATTCTGTGCTGTGAATGAAGCTCCCTGTAATGTAGGAACACGGGCGTGGGGGGCGGGGGGTGGGGGGGGAGGGGGGGGGTTGGGCGTCAGGTGATGTGTTTCAAGTCAAAAGTGACTTAACTGTAATCACTGTCTGTGAAAAAACACCTCAAAACGCAAAGTACATCCAGAACGTGTCAGCGCAGACACCACGGGGCTGAAATCGGCTCCTTGTCAGAACTTTCAGTTCCGCCTTAAATGATGCGGCTGTTGCCTTTTTACCATTTAAGGTGGAACTGAAAATGCCAATAAGAAGCTGGTGAGTATGAACTGAAGGTTGGCTTTTAAAAACACTGAAAACACATAAACATCACAAGAAATCACAGCTTTGCGAGTGAAATCATTTGTAATCTGGCCAATATATTTAATATTTTAATTTAGTAATATTTATCATATAATATTTATCAGAGTCTGTAAGATTGTTGGAATATATTTTTATTGTTTTTAGTCGTTCTGCAGAGAAACGTTCTCCACAGGCAGATGACATTGTTTGGTTTAAGAACACACTTACAAATGAAGATGCCTAAAGGGTTCTGTGTATGATGCCATAAAAGAACTTAGCTTATAAAAATTCATCCATTATGAGGTTCTTTGGAGAACTAGTTTGTAAACATGTCAGTTTGAAGAACCTCCACTTAATGAAAAGTTTCTAGAAAGAACCTTTAAATTGGTGAAGAACTTTTTTCCATCATGTGAACCTTTAAAACTTTAAATCTGTTTTTGAATGTGGTTGTTTAGGGAACCGAACATGGTTCTTCTGTGGCGTCATTCAAAGAACCTTTTTAGTACTTTGTTTTTTCGGCATTAAGTCTTGAAGCAAAACCAGGTGATCTGGAATGAGATGGTTCCTCTGGATAAAATCACTCAGATATGAGGTTCTGTTCGCAAATCTGATCAACATGTTTGATGATTCTCATTACGAGATGACGAGGAAAATGAAACATATTGATCAGATTTGCGATGTTTTTTGCAGCTCAGCTGCTCAATCTGCTCTTTACTGTAATGTAATAATCTACAGTGCACTAACGTGGCTAACGTGGCTGACTGTTGGATGCTGTAAGAATCATTTAAAGGTTCTGAGAACACACCTGAAAGCTAGAACCCACTTAACGCAGCACGTAACCGGTGTGAATTTGTACAAACGTTATTGTAAACTTCTCTTTTGTCTTGTTTTGTTTGTCTAATGTGTTTTATTTGCAGTTTAAAAAGAACAAAAAGTGGCCAAACAAAAAAACGGACACTGTGCAGCGTTCAGGATTCTCGAGATCTTAAGGCCTTATTTCTGATTTGTGTTTTTTTCCGGGAAGGAGCTGCGTCTGTCTGTCTGTGCAGCTCTGCAGTCTCAAAGACGAGAGAGGTTTTATTAATAATGTCCTGATGCCTCAACAGAATGTGATACTGATTTAAAAATGTATTTTAAATAAATCAGTTTAAAAGAAAATCTCTTTCATGACTGTTTTAATGAAATCGTTGCGTTAGTGTTGTTTTTGTGCCCATGAAAACAGATCAGAGCGTCCACAGCTGGAATAAGACGAAACACCTGTCAGAGATTTTGGGCTGCTGTAGTGGAACTGAGCAGTAAATGCAAATGTTCTTCTGTGAAGTAAAACAGGTGATGAAGCTCCACTGAACATCTCTCTGAGATGGAGATGTCTCTGAGATGGAAGATGCTGATCTTCATGCTGATCTTTGTGCTGATCTTCATGTTTCCTTAGAGTTCGCAGCATGAAGTCCAGAAAAGCCTCAAAGTAGCTGCTCCACCTAACGTCCCTATATAATTTCACCACAAGGGGTCAGTGCTTCACATGACTACTAGGGTCAGAAAACCCTCAGCACAATAACTACAAATGCATCAAAAGGTAAATATGGAGGGTGCAGGTGCGTAACACCATCTCTGAAACCAGAAGGACGATTTCAGACACAGGTATTTTAAAAGATCCTTTAAAAGATCCTAATATAATATATATAATATACATACATCATCTAAACCACTTATCCTTCTGGGTCACGGTGGGGTGCTGGAGCCTATCCCAGCTCTCACTGGGCAGAAGGCAGAATACACCCTGGACAGGTCGCCAGTCCATCGCAGGGCAGACATACATACATATACAATCACACACACACTCACACCTAGGGGCAATTCAGCATTTCCAATCAGGCTGACTGCATGTTTTTGGACTGTGGGAGGAAACCCACGCAGACACGGGGAGAACATGCAAACTCCACACAGAAAGGCCCCCGGTTGTCCGGCCGGGAATCGAACCCAGGCCCTTCTTGCTGCGAGGTGACAGCGCTACCCACTGCGCCACCGTGCTGCCCAAATACAATACAATACAATACAATACAATAATAGTATAGTGCCATATTTGCACTATTTATACCCACAGACCTTAATCTGTATATGCCTTATGTCACTTTAGTGTTAATTTTAGGACCTTCTTATATTTATATTATTTACATCATCATTATTATTATTATTATTATTATTATTTTCTTTTTATTATTCTATTTTTCTACAATTCGTGTTTATTTTTTGTTTACGAGTAGTGTTTAGTATTTACACCATGGGGTCTGAGAGTAATGCAATTTCAGCACTCTGTATGTCCTGTACATACTGTAGTATTGACAATAAAAGCTGGCTTGACTAAAATCTTTACTTCAGTCTCCCTAAACTTTCCATCCTCACTGGAAAAGGTTTTTGTGACAAACCAACTACAGCCTCAGAAACACCGTTCCTTTCTTGCAGGCCGGTTCTTCCTGGTCACCATTTGTAAATCTCATTGATGTACCAGAAGACACTGTGTAGGTATTGACATGTCTGCCTCCTGGAGAGGTCACTGTTGTCCGGTCTTTAGTGTGAGCAACACAGCTGGGTGGTATTACAGGGACTTCTGGCTCGACAGAAACTGACGTTGTTGGTTCTGCCTTCACTGCTGCAGAATTTCACTGTCATGAAGGATTCAGTTTGTTTAGTTTGCTGATCCCGAACAGTCCAGAGTGGAACTGATTACAGAACAACTTTAATTTTAATTGTTTTAGTCATTGTTAATAAACAATAACACATTTCATTGAAATTAACTTTATTTTGAAAGACTACATTATGCAAATTACTTATTGAAATAACTTTATTATCTATGAAAGAACATGAAATTGTATTAAATCTGGCACGTTAATCACACGGGCATCGTTTAGTCTAGTCTGCCAACAGCGAAGTGTTATTTTTTGCTTGTGTACAGAACTCATTTAAAATGTATTAGAATCAAAGAATAATGTTTATAATTATTTACAATAACCAAACGTTTCAGTTCTGAAAACACTTTGAAAAGGAAATATTTATTAAATACTTTACATTAATGAGAACATTGCTGTAGAGGTGACCGTGGGTCTCCCTGCTGAGACGTCATCCGATCCTCTGAGGTTCTGTTTATCTTCTACAGTGAAACACCAGCTTTTTAAACACATTATTATATTCAAGATCTTATTTCATACAGTCATATTAGCAAACTTCAGCCAATGGAACAGAATCTGTGACGCCAGGCGGAGCAGCTCAGCATGGGGGACCACCACACATGGAAAGGAGGACCACCACTGTCACCACATCAGCCTTTGCAGTAGTTACAGTTAGCAGATTCACAAAAAATCTGATTGGTCTGATTAGTTCTGTTTTGACCAAACAGGTTTTTTAAAAGGTAAAAAGAACACAAAATATCTCCAAGAGTGACTGGTCACTTTATTAGGAACACCTGTACACCATCAGCCAATCACGTGGCAGCAGCTTAATTCATAAAATCCTGTAGACCATGGGTCAGCGGGTCAGAGCTTCAGTTAGTGTTCATATCAAACATCAGAATGGAGACAAAACCGATCTGATTGAGTGAGTTTGCTGTTATTGTTGGTGGTTTAATTATTTCAGAAACTGCTGAATTGAGATTTTTTTCACTCGCAACCATCACAACCACCATAGTGAGTGGCAGATCTGTAGACTCCTTGTGGACGAGAGGTCAGTGAAGAATGATCAGACCTGTTAGATTTGATAGAAAAACGTTACAGAACTTCTTTACCACAGTGGTGATTAGAAAAGCATCTGTAAAGGCAGAACACATCTGTCCTTGAGGCAGCTGGGCTACATCAGCGGAAGACCACATCGCTGTCCACTCGCGTCAGCCAAGAACAGGCTTCAGTGGACACAGGTTCACCCAAACTGGACAGCTGAAGATCAGAGAAACGTGGTCTGGTCTGATGACTCTGGATGTCTGCTGCCTCATACAGATGGAAGAGGCAGATTCTGGCATCAACCGTCTGAATCCAGGAACCGAACCTGCCTTGTGTGAACAGCTGAAGCTGTGGTGGGGGTGTAGTGGTGGGGGGTGTACTGGTGGGAGGATGTTTTCTTGCCGCATATTTGGGTCCCATAATACCAACATGAAAACTATTCACAATATCATATAAATCAAGATCCAAAATAGACCCAAACATTATAACAAGACTCGGCTACAATATGGAGATTAAATATTTAAGCCATGCTTTAAGACAGAAGAAGACTGAGCTGATACCTCTGTGCTGCAGTTGTTCCTGTTTTTCTGGTTTTTATTCTACTTGGCAGACAGAAGCATGAGGACGTCTCGTTGGCAAGCTTTTTTTCTTGCTACTTCCTCCTGAAAAATTTCAAACAACAAATTTGCATGCAGTGGACACGAGATATGACCACAAGATATGAGGTGAGGTATTTCAGCGCTGTTTCCTTAATACGTTCCAAGCACTCAATACATCAGGTATGACCCACAGTGCCGACTGTCCCCACCAAGTACAGCAGGACTGATATATCAGCCTGGAGAGTTTAGGTCCAGCACATCTGTCTCTAATGTCCAGATGCCCCTTCATTACCTGGATCAGGTGTTGTAGTTCACTGAGCAGCCCTGGAATACAGCAACATCAAAACAGAAATTTGGCCAGAACAGGAAAGAATGATGACCAAATCAGCAACACGTCAGAGTTAACACAACCAAACTGCGTCTGCATCTGCATAAAAATAGAGCCTCTATTACAATTTGTAGAAACACTGTTTGTGCTGTTTATTCAGCTCTTGCTGACATTAAATTCTCGTGGTCGTGAAGATTTGATAACACACCCGCAGCCATCATTTAACCAAAGATGAACAGTTGAATTTCTGTAACCACTGTTTTCACTGAGCAGCACTTAATTATTTAAATCACTCAAGCTCAGTATTTGGTCCTGTGTAATAATGATTGAGCTCAGACAGTTCTCCAATAAAGTCCTTATAATGCAGGGGTGTCCAGTCTGATCCGCAGAGGGCAGTGTGGCTGCAGGTCTTCACTCCAACAAAGCAGGAGGTCACCTGATGAAATGTTTGAAGACTAAGACCAACTGATTAAAGAAGTAGAATCAGATGTGCTCCGGCTTGTTTGGAGTGAAAAGGGGGGCAGTTGTGGGCTGGAGGTTAGGGAACAAGCCTTGCAACCGGAAGGTCGCTGGTTCGATTCCCTGAGCCAACAGTACATGGCTGAAGTGCCCTTGAGCAAGACACCTATCCCCCAACTGCTCCCTGGGCGCTGTGGATAGGGCTGTCCACCGCTCTGGGCAAGTGTGCTTACTGCCCCCTAGTGTGTGTGTTCACTAGTGTGTATGTGGTGCTTCACTGCACAGATGGGTTAAATGCAGAGGTGAAATTTCCCCATTGTGGGACTAATAAGGGTCACTTAATCTTAAAACCTGTAGCCACACCGTTTGTGGATAAGACTGGACACGCCTGTTTTAATGTTCCGTCAGTCTGCAGACCAGTCCATTCTGACGAGCTACAGTCTGGAACAGCCAACATCAACACATCTTACTTCCAACAAACGCAATTTAGTCCGTCATTTGAGAGAACTGTTGTTTTCCTTTCTCCCTCTCGGTGCACTTGTGACGCTTTAAAGAATACCTGAAGCTCCGCCCACAGTCTGAGCAGTAATACGGTTTCTCTCCTGTGTGGATGCGCTGGTGTTTCTGGAGACCATTCAGTTGGCGAAAGCTCTTCCCGCATTCCGAGCAGTGATACGGTTTCTCTCCAGTGTGAACGCGCTGATGGGCTTTGAGGTTACATCTGTCAGTGAAACTCCGCCCACATTCTGAGCAGATGTACGGTCTCTCTCCGGTGTGGATTCGCTGGTGGGCTTTTAAATTACATCTATCAGTGAAGCTCTTCCCGCAGTCTGAGCAGCGATACGGTCTCTCTCCGGTGTGGATGCGCTGGTGGAGCTGGAGATGGTTCAGTGTGGTGAAGCTCTTGCCGCACTCGGAGCAGTAATACGGTTTTTCTCCAGTGTGAATGCGCTGATGAGTTTGGAGGTTGCTTCTCTCGCTGAAGCTCTTCCCGCATTCTGAACACTGATACGGTTTTTCTCCGGTGTGAACACGCTGGTGTCTCCGTAGACTGCTCCGTACGGCAAAGCTCTTCCCGCACTCTGAGCACTCAAACGGCTTCTCGCCGGTGTGAACGCGCAGGTGTATTCGGAGGTGATTCTGTTTCTGAAAGCTCTTGCCGCACTCCGAGCACAGATGCGGCTTCTCTCCGGTGTGAATGCGCTGATGCACCTGAAGATGATGCCGCTGAGTGAAGCTCTTGCCGCATTCTGAGCAGTGATGAGTTTTCTCTTTTCCAGAACTCTCCTGCAGGTGGCTGTGAGGTGTGTTATTGTAGAGAGCACCAGAGGATGTTTGCTGAGTACCGAAGCTTATTATGGATTCCATGTTCTCACATTTAATCTCTCGTGAGATCAGCAGGGTGACGTACTCCATTTGCAGATATGTTGGTGGCAAAACTGTGTAGAAAAATGGACACTGGAGACCACGAGGAGACTTGCGAGAGGATCTCACTCCATTCTGGAAGAAAAAAAAAAAGTCATATGCAACCATAGTGTGATCAACTTGCACTGTTTCAAATGCAGACAGTTTTTCATTACTTTGAACCAAAATAAACAATAAAATCATAAGTAAACAACATTTTTTCATGCCAGGAAAACTACACCATCACACAGCCACTGCCAGCCTGTACTGTCAGCACCAAACAGGATGGACTCTAGTCTCACAAGTCAGTCTCCTACCATCAGAGTCTGGTGTATTTTGATGCTTAATGTGGACTAAAGCTGTCAAGTCTGCCAGTTACAGCTGGTTGACTGACATGCAGAATAACCACAGACTGCTGCCGTAGCCTGATGTGGAGCTGCAACCAAAAGCATTGGCTAAGCTGAGGAACTCTCGTTTAACAGCTACTAAATGCTTGAATAGCTTTTAAAAATATGATGCCTGTTTGCTGACATAACAGAGCAGGTGGTCAGCGTTCTCCTGTCTGTTCAGCTGCCCAATGAGGATAAGTTAGCGGCAGTTTGAAAAGATGTGGTGGCTTCAGATCTTCATACAACTCTTCTGGGAGAAAATAGGAAAAAATACATTTAAAAGTTGAAAAATCCACTTTTCAATCGTATATTAATCATTTTAATTTACCTTTTATCACACGGCGGTAAACTTATGCTAAAGAGAAATTAATCCAGATTACAGCGGACATGCAGGCGGGATTCAGGAAAGTTGGAGGAACATCTAGAAATGGAAACATCATTGCTAAAATTCGCTGGATCACTGAAAATGCCTTTAACTGTGTTGACCACAAAAGCTCCTCGGGGTCACAGCAGAGCATCTCGCTGTTCTAATCAAGCATCTCTACACTGACTGATCAGCCACGGTCAGGGGAGGAATGGACAAACAGACTCGTTCCACATCGGTGAAGGGGTTAAATAAGGCTGCCCACTGTCACTGTACTCAACCTGAATGATGAACGTACAGTGAGAGAAGCAGGTCTCAAGGAAGATGATGGAGCATCGATCATCGTTTCATAACCACGACCTATTCATTACCTTTCATGTATTTTTCCAATTTTATGATGTAGTCATAACGTATTTCTCTTACAATACAAGAGTAGACAACAACAAAAGAGTGGCTTAATATCTCTTCATCTTCGTATAAGCATGTACATAATTTCACATATTTAAAATATATATCATTAAATAAGATTTTTTTTATGAGGTGGGAGCCTCCAACCCTGGCGCTGGACATCTACCTTCCTGTGGGGTCTAGTTCCAACCACACTTGCTCCAGCTAATTAACCTCGTCCCAGTTCCCCGACTGGCTGGATCAGATGCATTAGGGAGCGGGGCAGCTCATTAGAGACAAGCTGGACCTTAACTCTGCAGGAAGGTAGATCTCCAGGATTGCTTTAGTCTGGTACTGGTCATGTTGTTCATCCTCGCATCATCAGGCTCACAAAGATCCCAAACCTTCTAGTAGCTACACTGTAAAACATAACTTAGATTGGTGGAAAATACATCAATTAAATTCAATGTGCAGATGACACGACACTCGTCATTACAAAGAGAGATCAAGAACAGAGTGAAAAGATGGTTCTTCAGGTCAGGAAAGTCCGCTCACTTCAGCACTGATGTGGATGATGTGGAGATGGTGGACAGCTCGAAATCAGTCATTAATATGCCGGGACAAAGAGCTGTCCCCTTCAGCATCAGGCCTCCAACACAATATTATGAATAAAAAGAATTTTTAGATCTTTTAATACCAGCTAAACACTTTCACTAATAACTGTTCTGAGTCTAAGTTCTCAAAAAGTGTCAAAAAGAAAGAGTCTTCAGACGCTGAGTTTGTGGAAAGAGGAAAAAAAGGCTTCTTCTTTATTTCAGCATCAGGTGGCACAGGGTCTCGAGACCCCAACTGCGCAAATACAGTGTTCCACACAACAGTTTATACCATTTATCTGGGGTAATTTGAGATCCCCCACCTTACTGCTCAAATTTTGATATTAGCTCATTTTCTAATAGGTGCATCTCTTCATCCATCAATCTGGTCATCGCATGATGAGCTCACTCCTCAAAACTGACTTCAGCAGGTTTTTCACCAGTCTGCTCTACCTTTCAAGGTCAACTTGCCCCTCTCTTCACTGGGTCAGTAGGTACACACAGGCCTCTCTGTGAACCCAGAGGCTTTCCAGTGTCTGGAATCTCCTATGCAGACAGACTAAGGCCTCCCTTTGTGAGAGAATTAATATTCTCTGTTAGCCAAAACTCCCTATTTGGTTATTGATTACAATGTCTAATCTATTTGATTACTGATTAAGGGAATATTTATTCAAAATCTCCATCAAATAACAGAGGATCCATCACTCAGATCAGCTCTGAGCAGAACGAGGATGAAGGAGCTCGAAAAGATCTTCAAATGCAATGATGTGTCGACACACACAAAGGTCAGAACTGACCAGGCTGTGGTCTTCTCCATGGTTCTTTATGGACAATAAACAAGCCAGACTGTAAAAATGTAGATGACTTTGAAACAGTTACGCTTGAACAGTTTAAAACAACAAGATTCAGAGGAATCATGAACGAGCCATTCAGAAGCCTGAGGACCCAAATAGGAGACGTGACGTTCTGGAGGAACACTGTCCATACGGTCAGCAGGAGTCCGAATCGAACTGATGGCAAAGAACAACAATGATAACGGTGATATCAGTCCTACAGATCAGTACAGATCTGTGACAGGATTAGATCACGTTCACTCTGAAATTACCTCCCACATCACATCCAGCATCTTCTGATCAAATCAGCACCATAACCATCCAGACGTCTGGGACTGGATCAGCGCCAAACAGTTTCCTGTAAAAATAAGATTGATAAGTTGTGTTTAATGTTTTCAGTTATTAAAATTTTTTCCCATTTTTGAGATGATTTTGAGTCAGACTGAGTCTTAACAGAACATAAAGACTAAACAAAGCTACACTTATAACAGTAAAGTCTCATGTTTGCTCATATATGTGGAGACATTAACATTAATGTGCTCTGTGTTACTTTTGGTATTAATGTTGATAATTACTGATGAAGCCATTACTGATGTTTCTGACTTAAACCGTTGGCTTTTTATTTTTAATATGAAGCAACTGCTACTGTGCTGTACATCACATGATCATAGTCTGCATCTTATTTGATTGCTATAATAAACAAGACTGGAGAGAAGAAAGAAAAACATAAATACACTCTGTATTCAACATTTTCTCTGCCCTCACTGTTTGTTTAAGTATTTTTAAGGAGCATCTGCTCCAGTCTGTTGAATGTGTTGTTCAGTTCTCCAGATGTTTCTGCATCGAGAGCTTCATCTCAAAGGATATGATTCCACGTCCTGCTGCACCAACTGTGATCTTCTATTTAGCTAGATATAAAAGTTGAACACTTAAAACAGAAAAACACGGATTGCATTTATAATCTCTCTGTTCATCAGGATATTATAATAAAGATCTGATGTTATGCTACACTGCTGTGTTATTAACAGACATAAAGGTATTCAACATCTGCATCATTAAGAGTAGATCTACATTTCAGAGCTGCAGAAATACGGAGCTCATAAGAAAATAATAGTTTTAAAATATTACACAAGAAGACTGACAGTGAAAGGAATAAAGCAAAACCTCTAAAAACATTAATGTTTCTCAACAAGACAAAAAATGCATAGGAATGAAAATAAAAAGAAAGAAAGAAAGAAAGAAAAAACAGTGTAGAGCCTATAAACTCATGAATCATTTAACAGAATTTCAGATTAAAAAATAATGACAGGTCATTTTTTGCGCTGTTTGCTTAAATGTTTAAATGTAAAGACGAAGGACTGAAACACTAATGAACAAATTCTAATTGTAAATAAACGTAGATTAATAATTGAAACCTTCAATCCTTAATCTTAATCTGATAAACGACAAACTAAGTAAAAAGACAGAGAATGAAGTGATGAGGAATAAGAGCTGATCAGGCGACTCTCAGACGGAGCTTCTTATTCTCTTATTAGCTTCCTGAATGAAGCTGCTGCACCACCTGCTGGAAAAACCATAGAATCCATTAAGTGTATCTGCTGGTTCCTGATGGTTTTGTAATGTGTTTTGTGTTTTTTAATGGGTTGATATCACAGTGTAAAGGATCCTAATGGTTTAACAGGTGACCAGTGGCTGATTCTAAATGCATTTGATGGTTTCCTAATGGGGTCTAAAGGTGTTCTACAGGAAGCTAGTGGTCTGTATTACAGGACCGTAAATATCAGATTTGTGTGTCCAGTTTAAAAGACGAAAACCTGAAGAAAAGAAGAACCGACTTAGTAAAAACTGTAAAGACTGTAAGACTGTAAAGGATGTAAACACTGTAAAGACTATAAAAGGCTGTATAGACTGTAAAGAATATAAAAGCTGTAAAGACTGTAAAGACTATAAAGGCTGTAAAAGATGTAAAGGATGTAAAGACTATAAAAGCTGTAAAGAATAAAGGCTGTAAGACTGTAAAGTATGTAAAGACTGTAAAGACTATAAAAGCTGTAAAGACTGCAAAGACTATAAAAGCTGTAAAGAATAAAGGCTGTAAGACTGTAAAGGATGTAAAGACTGTAAAGACTATAAAAGCTGTAAAGACTGCAAAGACTATAAAAGCTGTAAAGACTAAAAACTATAAAAGCTGTAAATTATGTAAAGGATGTAAACACTGTAAGGATGTAAAGGCTATAAAGACTGTAAGACTGTAAAGGCTATAAAGACTATAAAAGCTGTAAAGGCTATAAAGACTGTAAAGGACGTAAAAGCTGTAAAGGATGTAAGGGTGTAAAGACTGTAAAGTATGTAAATGATGTAAAGACTGTAGATGATGTAAAGGACGTAAAGGCTGTAAGACTGTAAAGGATGTAAATGATGTAAAGACTGTAAAGGATGTAAAGACTGTAAATGATGTAAAGGATGTAAAGACTGTACATGATGTAAAGGATGTAAAGACTGTAAAGGCTATAAAGGCTGTCAAAGACTGTAAAGATTATAAAGACTGTACAGGATGTAAAGACTGTAAAGGATGTAAATGATGTAAAGACTGTAAATGATGTAAAGGATGTAAAGACTATAAAAGCTGTAAAGTCTGTAAAGACTGTACAGGATGTAAGACTGTAAAGGATGTAAATGATGTAAAGACTGTAAATGATGTAAAGACTGTAAATGATGTAAAGGATGTAAAGACTATAAAAGCTGTAAAGGCTGTAAAGACTGTAAAGGATGTAAAGACTGTAAAGGATGTAAATGATGTAAAGGATGTAAAGACTACAAAAGCTGTAAAGACTGTAAAGACTGTAAATGATGTAAAGACTGTAAATGATGTAAAGACTGTAAAGACTATAAAAGCTGTAAAGGATGTAAAGGCTATAAAGGCTGTAAGGGCTGTGTAAAGGCTTTAGGAACCAAACTGCTCAGATATGAAGCATCTCCATCAGATAAGATCAGGAATTACTACGAATATTCATTTATTAATGTTTAACGTTTTAAACATTTTCACTCAAAACACAAGAAGTAAACCCAGCGTTGAGATTCTTACCTTCAGCTGAGCAGCTCCTGTTTCTGTTTCTCTCAGCGGGCAGTTACAGGGCTGACCTCAGATCAGGCTCCGCTGTTTTCAGGCCGATCATGGTCAGAACAACCGACCGTAGATCAGCTCTGCTGCTCGGAGGGCGGATCTTCTTCTTCTCCGCTTTAGCGGCTCTGTTTATTGGCGCAGTTATAAATTAGCGCCCCCACCTGGGCTTCAAAGGGACGTTACACTGGAACCACGTGATCACAGAGTCTCCCACCCGTTTTCAGGTTAACCCCGCTCACACGAGCAGACAGCTGGCTAGTTTTTCATACAGCACAGAGTGATGGTCTGTAGGGTCACCAGTAAAGCAGAGTGGAGTCCAGAGTCCAGGGATCTCAGAGCCGCTGCAGACGGTTTGTTCATTCACTGTTTTCTGAATGTGTTTCTTTGCTGAATGAAATTCTTCTCAAATAAATAAATAAATAAATTTTTTTACATTGCAAAACTGACATATACAATAATAATAAACAAATAACAAATAGAAAAGTGGGCTCAGCGGTGGTCTCAGCATCGGGCAAAGGTAGTCAGCCGTATTAGGCCCCCATCAGCCAAGGTCTTCCATTAGCCAAGGGCCACCATCAGCCAATGGCCCCCATCAGCTAAGGGCCTCCTTGAGCCAATGGCCCCCCTTCAGCCATGGGCCCCCCATCAGCCAACGGCCTCCATCAGCCATGGGCCCCTCCATCAGCCAAGGGCCTCCTTCAGCCAATAGCCTCCATCATCCATGAGCTCCCCATCAGCCAATGGCGTCCATCAGCCAAGGGCCTCCTTCAGCTAATGGCATCCATCAACCAAGGGCCCCCCCATCAGCCAAGGGCCTCCATCAGCCAAGGGTCTCCTTCATCCAAAGGCCCCCCCTTCAGCCATGGGCCCCCATCAGCTAAGGGCCTCCTTCAGCCAATGGCCTCCATCAGCCATGAGCCCCCCATCAGCCAAGGGCCTCCTTCAGCCGATGGTCTCCTTCAGCCATGGAATCTTCAGTTCAGTCTAATGAAAAGTCGCTTTCGAGGCAGAACAGTTTATTCACGAATGAAAAACAGTATGTTGTCATCAGAATGTAAGCATGTAGTTCAATTTTTAAATGCTTGCAAAAATTGCTGCTTCACAGGTAGTTTGGTGATGAAGTTGATGAAGCTGGGTTTGAAAGCCAGCGAGTGTCTAAAAGAAGCATCGACCGGTATCAACACGTTACCATAGCCTGTGCGGCTCTCAGCAGGTTTAGGACAAATTCCTGTATTCAGTGTTGAGAGTTTTTGAGCTCCAAAAAGCACTATTTATTCAGCACCTGCTGAACATGGACGAAAAAACATTGGACGCTTCTATGTGGATGGATTTATCCAACAGACTAACATGGTTTTGGAATTTTATGGGTGTCTATTTCACAGTTGCCTCGAATGTTCTAATGTCAACATGGAAAATCCACTAACTGCTGAACTACAAGGTGATGTTTATTAAAATACAAGGGAAAGAATCAACTGTAATCGCTGGAATTCGTCGCCTGAATCATGTGGAAACAAACATGGATTAAGTTGAACTGTGAAAATGAGGAGGCTTTTTTGAAAACTGATTTTCTAGGACAAAATAAAACTGTGGGAAATTGCCTGAAACAGCCTGAGCTCAATGTCGGCCACCTAGTGCTCAAAGACAATTTCACACTAGAGAAACTCAATCAAGAAAAGAGGGCAAGTATTTCCAGGAATCTTATTTATGCACATCTCACCCAGAACATCAGAACTCTCGGCAACAGGGTGGCAATTCAGGGATATTCACAGATCTGGTTGATTTTAAAAGAATTTTATTTGTTTTTTCACCAGCTTTTACTGTAGTGACTCTACCAAACACATCATAAGGAACTTAATCGACAGAATTTACTGTAAATCATCATTCAATGCACCATTTAATAAGATGTTATTATTTACTGAACTCATTTTTGACTTCTCATCACAGGTATGTATTTGTAGCTAGATCAGTAACAAACATGAAACAGACCGGATTATTCCTGTTTTACAAAGTGGAAAATAATCTCTAGTCTAGAACAACCACTGGCTGTGAAGCTGACTGGACAGATAAACAAACGAGCAGCTCAATCTTGAGAAACAGTCAGCAGTTTAGCTGGTTCACTAACGTATTTGCCTTAGGTTTGTCTACAGTGAGTGAGATCTGGCTGAACCTGATACAAACCCTCCACCTTCCATGCAGCTTCATGCTGCATTTACTAGGATCAGGCCAGATTATTAGTGTCTTTATCAGCGAGGAGGACAAACAGGACGAAAACAACACAAAACAAAGCAAAACCCACACAACACAAAAGCAGTAATGCATGAGAACATAATGCTGCAGCAAAACAGGCCCATCTTCACCAGGCTTCTCCAGGGAATGGTCAGCCTGCACGTCTCTCATGATGGATGATGGCCAGCGTGCTTGAAAAAGCTTATTATTTTAAAATATGACCTCAGTAACCAGCAAATACACACGCAGGTAACTTTCATTATCAGACCAGTGGTCCCCAATCCTCCTCCTGGAGATCATCCTATCAGTTCAGCTCCAGGTCCAATCCATCACATCTGATCAACCCGACCATTCACCTCAGAAAGCCTTAGTTACATCCAGTTTGATCTGGATTGGAGCAGAACTGTACATGTAGGTTGATGTCCAGGAGGAGGATGGCTGACCAGGCTGAGAGACACTTTAAAAGGGCCCATTTCGTACATTTTTCTTGTTTTTATTTTTTTTTCCTTGACATTCATCTATGATATTGTGTAGTATTATGTACCAAATACAGCTGTAGTTCATTTTTACATAACATTCATTCTCAAATCTCTATTTATCCCTTAGAATTAAACAGACTGTTTTTGTTACTGTACGTTTAAGACTAATAAATGTGAACGCACTCTGTTCTGATTGGCTGTCCTGTATAGAGCCTCATTTAAACAGCAGTCTGGGCTGAAACACTCCCCATAACTTCAGTGCGAAGGGTCAGGACTAAACTGCTATAGGTCACTGTCTGCTATAAGTCCCTGTCTGCAGCTTAGTTTCCATATTTCTATATTTCTTTTATTAAAACAAAATTAGTTTTCCATGATATGGTTGATTTAATGTGGTCTCGAAATACTGTTTAAAGTGACTCAATGTTTATTTTATAGTATGAATTTGCTGGCCATGTTTTTCTTTTAGCAAATTCTAGCTAGGAGAACTGTGTGACGTACTATTCCATACATCAGCTGTGCAGGAATGATGAGACGGGGAGCGTTTAACAGAAAAGATAGATGATGAAAAGTTAATTCATCTCACTCACAATTCAGCCTGTTGGCTGCAGCAGCAGCCAGTTATATGTTCTCAATCTGAAACTGGAGCTCAGTTAAACTGCATTAAAACTACATTAACACTAACAGGTCATTAGAAGCTGTCTGTAGTACAGTGCTCCTCCAGATCTCAGGTCAATGAGAATTTGTCTACAGCAGTAGCTTGTGGTCTGTTTCTGCCACCCAGTGGCCAAAGCTTGCTAAGACAAGTTCCCCACCTGATTAGGTGGATAATGGAAGACACTGCTTGCGATTGTCTTGAAGACACCAACAGTTCAGTTTTAGACACGAGTCCAAGTGTTTAGGAAAGGCCTCAACGTGCAGCTACTGACTTCCATACAGATGAGTGACGGGAGAAAGCCAGCAGCACGAAAAGATGAACCGATGGGTTTATGAATCGTACTCCTGATCGATGAACTTGGCCATGGTGCTCAGCTGAATGTTTGACGTTCCCTCATAGATGGTGCCTGTAGGAAAACACGGCATTTAGCATATTAGTATAAAGTGGTATTGGAGCACCAGCCACATGCAGTCAGAGGGAAATCAGATTAGTCTGACCATGCTTCCACAAATCAAAGAATCCTTTGACCTGGTCACAGCTCCTCATGGAGAGCTTGTAGAGTTGGCTAACTGTGCATAACACTATACAACATCTGTATTACACATTTTTTATTTTCTTTATCTGTGACTGAAATGGATCCATATTCCCTGACTAGCACTGTGCCATGTAAGGGAGAACTGTTTAGTTTACTAAAATACAGGAATAAATGAATTTGGAGACTTTGTCATTATAAACTTGTCAACTTGGCGTCGAAGACCGGAATACAAAACTTGACTAGGCTGCACGTTTAATTCTCAATCCATGATTACAGTAACCATCAATTACCATGCAGTGTTTGTACAGTACGATGAGCAGCAGGCAGTAAACAAGTTAGGGTCTTTGTTTTGAACTGAGCTGCTGTTACTTTACCAAAATGTTGAGAGTCCAGTATGTTTAGTTTTCGATGGCTCAGCGGCCGCTGTTAATGTCAGCCTCATAACCTCATTTCACCATCCAGACACTAAGAAAACAATGGCTGATGTATGTAATAGTGCCCCAAATTGCCAATACAGATCCATTTTGGTCACAGCTGCTGTATTACTTACTGCACTAAGAGAAAGTCATTGTATATCTTTATATCTTATTATATATTTAATGTATATCTTATTATTAAATAAGCAAGATTCTGATTCAGTCTTAACTCTGGTAAGCATTGCTTCATGACCTTGGCAGAGCTCTGCATTAACAATTATTAGTCTACCAACACTGTGTGTTAATCCTTACTTTTTAAATACGGTCGCTGTCCAAATTAAAACAAGTATCTCCAAAATGGTAACTTTACAGGAGAGGGCAAAAACGTTCTTTCCTTTATTGTAAGTGAATGAGAAGATATTTAATTCCAAGTAATTTTAGAGCATTGCTATTGGTCCATTCATCTTGAAATTTTCACAAGATGTAAATCTGTTCAAATGATGCGGGAAAATAAAAATAATCGACGAAAATGGAGATGCATGTTTTTCTTTGGACAGCGACGATATACTTCAGTTACTTTTAGATGTTCTCCTGTGTGTCTGCATGGCCATTTTTTTATTATGGTGTATTTCACAAAGAAAAAATAGTTTCAATTAATCTCTAAACCAATGACTTTCCTATTGGATAATACTCACTTTAGGCTTAAATCATCCAGCTTTACTGAAAAGTCCTCAATCTTGCTGCAGGAAGCTGGGTCATGTTTATCTCTCGAGCTCTTCGATCATATTTTACACCTTGAAGCTGTATCTTATACCATGTGTTTATAATTACTGGTTCTCACTCACCTATTTTGCAGTCTCTGTAGTATTTCTCGATGGGGTAGTCCTTTGTGAAGCCTACTCCCCCCATCCACTCAATGCATTTAGACGTGGTTAATGTTGCAACCTGAAGACAACAGATTAACGCATTAATACATGCAGCAAAACATCTTTACATTCGTTTACATGTACAGTAAATTGAGCATCTATTACTGATCTATAACTTTAAGATAACAGCCATAGGAACACACTGATTTGTTCCCAATTCCCATCCTGGGGATTCGTTCTCTGCACATTTTTTTGTTTTTTCTTCTCTAACACACCTAATTCAACTTATCAGCTACTTATCAGCTTTACTAAAAACAAAGGATTGCAAAACAGTGATCATATAAGATCTTATTTAGTTTTGTTAGCTTAGTTTTGGATGTAGGATTTGATTTGTAGTTGGCATATTAGTTCCTGTGATCCTCTGTCTTGTAAAAATGAGCACCAAAAGTCATAACTCTTAGAATTAAATGCAACTTCAGAAAAAAAGCTGTTATTTGAGCACAGGTGTGTGTGTGTGTGTGTGTGTGTGTGTCTGTGTGTGTGTGTGTGTGTGTAGCACAGGACCTGCTCCCTTATCATTTATTGTGATTGATATCATGATAAATTATGTCACAAAATGCTTTTCTGGGTATATCATGATTTTGTCAGTACACAGACAAAGAGAACCAGATTTAGTTTAGCATAATATGTGATGTGATGTTGAATAAAAATACGCATATTAATTATGGATGGTGCATTTTTTCTATATTCCAACTTATAAAAACCTTAGAAAAATAAAATATTGTGATGCACATCTGTGGAACTGTCATTTTTTTCATTCTGTAGTAAAATCATTGCACCCTTTTGAGTCATGTGTGCCAGATTAAGTACATGTACATGGTTCCCAGTGCTGGTTGTGAAAGCCAGTTGGGATGATCACTGACCTCTGCTGTGAAGTACTTGGCCATGCAAGCCTCTTTAATGAAGGGTCGTCCTGCCTCCTTCAGCCGGGCCGCGTTATAGGTCAGCAGTCTGGCTGCCTCCAGCTGAGTGGCCACATGGGCAATCTGATGCTGCAATCCCTGATAATAAACAGATACTAGGCTGTTATTGTACAACAACAGTGTACAATAACAACAGTGTTACTAGGCTGTTACTGTAATACTAATTTGGAGACTCCTTCCTCTAAATCAGTGTTACCTGGAAGTCAAAGATGCGTTTACCGAACTGGACTCTCTGCCTGGTGTAGGGAACAGCATGATCAAAACAGCCCTGAGCCAAGCCCAGCATCTAAAACACACAGAGAAGCACAATAAAATAAAGAGATAATATAGAAACAGCAGGGGTGGTCACCAAAGCAGGATTTCTCAATTAGCCAGAAACTTTAATGGGAATTCCACCCATTATTGAACATTTCTGCATGATGAAATACTTAAGATTACACAAAGTCATTCAGAGTGGTTTGTGTGCAATGCTCTGTTGATGAGAAATGGTTTGTGATAGGAACCAGATGTCCAGCAAGTTTAATGCCCCTAAAATTTCCCTCACTGAGAGTTATTACATAAAATGGCATGAATGCCTGAGACATTGTTTTACTATAGTCCTGGGTTTTGTCATTGGTGGTTTTGGATGGTAAATAAAATGGCTATATTTGTGTTGTAGACATTGAGACCCCTGGTTCCTATCACCACCACTGTAAAGCCTCTACACACCTCTACAATGAACCATTTCTCATCAAACCACTCTGAATGACTCTGCATAGATCTCAAATTGAATTATGCACAAATGACCTTGACATGCTGACTGTTTTGTTTGACTGAATGAAAATGTGGGTCATATTTAAATTACAATCATACAACAATTAAATTAGGATCATACAGGAACTTATTATCATTCATTTGCTTCATAAATGAGAGCTGTACCTGTGCTGCAATGCCAATTCTGCCCCCGTTCAGCATCCCGATGGCATATTTGTAGCCGTGCCCCACTTTACCCAAGATATTCTTCTCATGGACCTGTTCGGATCAAAGATGATGTCTTATTTTAAATAGTGAACTCCAGGACTGGTCATTTGCTCACAGTGTGCATGTCTGTACCTTGACACTGTCGAAGTTAACCGCACAGGTGGAAGAGGCTCTCAGGCCCAGCTTGTTCTCCTTCTTTCCGATCTCAAGCCCCTCCGTGTCTCGGTCCACGATGAAACATGTGATGCCCCTGTAGCCCTGTCAATCAAACACAATACAGTGAGTACCAGAGTCGCCCCGAAGCAGAAGAGCCATAAAGATGCGACGTATTCAAAGTGATGTTCCTGCATGGAAACATTCATCATCCAAGATCATCACTCTCAGTCTAGAACCCTTTATACTGGATACCAATGCAGTGCAGTATAACGCTTAGAACTCTCATTTAACAGAAAATAAACTGTAGCCTAGTCTGTAACTCTTATAACGTGACTATCACACAGAAACAAGAGAAGTAATAATAATAATAATTCTATTTACATTTACCTTTTATTGATAATGAAGGTAATTGTACAAATAGATTCAGAGAGGGGGAAAAACACAGAGCACTGGACAAAAGATTGGCCACCTAAGTACATTATTTAAAACCATTTATCTTGGCAATAAGTGAGTCTGTGCTTGTAAGCACACCATATATCCTTAGAATAAATAAAAATACAGTAAATACAGAAAAAAAGGTAACAGTAGTTTTTTCAGTAGTTGACATCTTGTAAGCTGGTTAGAAGAGCGCAGGTTTGGTTCCTGACTTCTCGCTGCACTCCAGCCATCGCATGGATTTGTTTAATTCCATCAGCAGCTCTGATTTAATTTAATGATAACTATAAATAATACTAGGCTTCAATGAGGGTTCAAATCAGTTAAAAATCAGTTTACTCTAATATTAGTGTTTTTCGGGCACTTACTGCCCAGATAAATCACTTTTTTAACTCAATTATTTCAGGTGTCTCAAACTTTTACAAAGTTCAGTACAATCACATTTAAGCAGTAAACACAGCACCCTTTCCTTTGTAACAAGTATGGATATAACGAGGTTTTGAAAAGAATAACCGTTGACTTTGAAAACATAATTTTACTTTTCTAATAAAAGGTGGTATTAATCATAATACAGGGAGATTCACTCGAAAGAGGCCCTGAATATTCTGTTGTAACTCCCGTTAGGATGAAGCAATCTGAACCAAAAAAATACGCTGCATACGTTGACGTATGTGTAATCGATTGCATTACATGCGATGCTGGACGTGATCTTCATTTTCCGCCAGACACATGAAGGGGTACAGGGGGTCTGCACCCAGAAGTTGCAAACGGAGGTTAAATATTGCGACGGCTGTCCGGCGCCTACCTCGTCGCTCCGACGCAGGGGCAGCCCGGCTTGTTCGAAGCTCCATATACTGAGGAGCTCATTGCACATTGTTTTGTTTAGATTGCTTCGTCCTAGTGAGCGTTATTACAGAATATTCGGGGCCTCTTTCGAGCGAATCTCCCTGTATAACACTGATATTTCCTATGTGTGTAAAGCTCACTCCCAAAAATGTATATCACGCAAAAAAAAACAAAAAAACTTGAAAGTGGTCTATAATGTGTTTTGTAACGAAACCCATTTCAATGTTATTGTGTTCTATATTTCTCATACATGGCAATAATAATAACAGACATGCACGCTGTGAATCTGTGACTCACTGCAGAGAGATCTGCGTTGGCCATGACCAGGAAGACTCCTGCATGCTCTGCGTTACTGATCCACATCTTGGAGCCATTGATGATGTAATAATCTTTATGCTTCTCTGCTTTGGTCTTCAGAGAGAAGGCATCGCTCCCTGACCCCGCCTCCGACAGGCAAAAACTACCAATCTGCAGAGTGGGACACACAGAGAAAAGGAAATGAGTACAACTGAAAGTCTAAATGTTCAGTGTACTAATATTTAATTTAAACTGTGCAGACTGCTGACTTGATTTCTTCATTATTACAATGATAGTTTTTTTTTTTTTTCTTTTCTGGTGAGTACATTGTATACAATTTTACATTTATATGTTTATCCTTGCATAAAAAAGAGCATCTGAGCTTTCCATACGAGTTTTCAAACACCATAGCTAATAGTAATGTTTAAATTATATGGTGTTTATGATTATTTTAAAACAATATTTTAGTGTATTATAGCACTTTAAGAAGACGGCCTTGGGATGTTTTGGGAATTTATTCATTTTAGCCAGTTCTTCCTGCTATAAGCACAATGGCCCTTATTCATCAAAGCTTATTGTAAAATTAGTGCTCGCAAATTATACCGACAATTTTTCTTATTCATCAGTTTCATCTTTGCCATATCTGTACCATCAAACTCATGTCCAGTAGGACTTGCGTAAAGTGTGTGTAAATTTGAGTGTAATAGTTTAACAACCTGAAAAAAATGCTTGATTTGATGATAAATATTATCCATTATTCATACAGCATCTCATACACTGCAATAGCTGGACGTTTAAATGTTTTCCTATTCATTCTACTGTCTTACAAAACAGACAGACATTTAGTTTATTTAACATTTTATTCTTTCCAGTCGTCATAATTTGGACGCTGTAAAGTTTGATCAGTAGTTAGAGCAGCACACTGACCCCTCCACATCAAACTTCACCTACGCGCACAGCGTTTGGCTTGCAAGCCACTAAATGCTGTTGTTTTATTGCCTCTCTACTGAACATTTGCTTGAATTAGGGCGTGCTTTATGTAAATGAGGTGGTGAGCTGGCACTTGACTTCACGCACTGAAGCTGATTCATCATTTGTGCTCAAATCTCCGCTCGTCTTATGAAGGTTTCGTGAATGAGATGCAGAGAAGTTCGTATATCATTAATATCTCCGCTCTTTTTGGACACAATGTCGGTGAATAAGAGTCAATTTTTCTCACTTTTCTCTTTTATAACCGCGTAAGATTTTAAATCTATCCTAAAAAATACAGGTAACCAGTGCAGCTCTTTCCAAATACACTAGAAGGATGAAGTGGGCAGTGCAGGCGTGGGGGGTCTAGGCTGTGTCTCACCATGTCTGTGGTGAAACGGGGCAGGTACTTCGCCTTCTGCTCCTCCGTGCCCAGGTTGGACATCAGTGTGTTGATCAGCGTGTTCTGGATGTCGCACAGCACGGCCACTGACGGGTCCACCTTCGCCAGCTCCTCAATCACCAGCACAGAGGAGAAGAAGGAGGAGCCAGTGCCTCCATATTCTGTACTTATCTCAATGCCCATCAACTGCAACAGACACAGTAGCAGACACGATAAAGGAAGCATCACCAAACAGTTAAGTCATACACCACCACCCACAGCACTGCTTTCTAGAGTAAAAAGTGAACAGCATTTCAAAAACGGACAAAAGATTAAAAAGACCTTCATCAGGGAAAATCTCACCATCATACTTTACACAAGTGTTATTTTAACCTGATACATTACATGACTAGTGATCACAAACCATGTATTCTCTCATATAACAAGTATAATCAATTAGAAATTGTACGATAGAACAACATATAATAAAATAAAAGAACAATAAATATACAGATATGAATAAAGTTTACAATTCAGTTCAACTGTGGCAAAAAGGACATCAATACCCTCAAATACTTTCCAGCACTTTAAATGGCCCATATCCTACATTTTTATCCATTTAATTTTCCCCCTCGATTCCATTTATGTTTGGTTCTATGCACCAAAAACTGTCAAAGAAAAACTATAATTAATATAATACATAATTTATATTAACATCATTTATAAGGACAATTTTCCAACCTCTCTCAGTTTTCTATGATATGGGCCCTTTAAATAAACGGTCAGCTGTGCAGGCAGTGCACAGTGTAGTGTGCGGTTTTGGATCATGTGCCAAGAGAGGTACAGACCCCCTGCTCAAAGAGAGATCCGATCACTTCATCATCCATGGAAGAATTTTCATCCATCTTGGATACGAATGGAGCGACGCGCTCCTGAGCATATTTCCTCACTGTGGAAAGAAGCAGTGATGGTTACTGGGGGGGGCTCACTGCAGGTCCCACAGCATGATTACACTACGATGCTTGAGTCAGGATACAATTCTACTGAGATTTTTAAAGATTTGTTATCTGAGATTGTTAAAGATTTGTTATCTTCCTATCTTGTTCTCCAGTGTGCAGGGCAAGCATGCCATCCACTACGCCAAGGGTATTTAATCAAAATTCAATAAGGTCCAATTAGAGAAAATTTCTTCAAGCAAAGGTGCGGAACATCATAATGTCTAACTTGCATCATGACTCAGTGCCATGTACTGTAAACTGAAGTGGCCTAGTAGTTATATCAACACCTCATACAGTCAACAACTGAATGTCAAATCAAATAAAGTGAAATTCAGTAAAATTTCAACAACATTTATGGTCAGTTTTCTCTTTTTAGAGCTCACCATGTGAAATAACTTCCCTCTGACTCACTTTCTTCTCCCACTGCTGTTTCTCGCCTCGTCCCTCCCCTGTGTGTGCGTCACTCACTCAAGTCTCAGTGCTCATCGTAATGCACAGATCTGATTGGCTGAGTAGCATAACAACGCAACGATATTTACAACGCATGCAACTGGTCTGTGAGTCACCTGGGCTGCTAAAGCGGTTCCGATTAAAACAGGACCACCCATCGAAATTAAATAAATCTCCAAAGTCTGGACTCGGGCCGCAGCCCGCCTATTAGTGACCTCTGCACTACGCTATCCAACTGTCATTAATAGTGATGCACTAAAATAAAAATTCCTGACTGAAACTGAAATTCGTATCTCGCCTGTTTGTTTAATTTGTGCATTTAAGAAACATACTAAACATATAAACTACAAGGTAATAAAGAAAGCAGATTTTTATTTTTGAGAAAGCTTGTTTTTAATAGATAAAGATAAACCTGAACTAACAAAAACAATTGTTACAGTCTGTAGGCTTCAGAATGTGCCTGTGGAATAATCCAGCATCTTCAACAACAAAGAAAAGTTGGTTATTTCGGTATCCTATTAGCCTAACAATGGGCTTAATACTAGGAATGCATGACTGGAATTTTAAGATTTGAATTGGAGGATTTTTGCTCCAAACACATGATCAACAATCGAACACAATGCTTTTATTTTGTGTATTAACTTATGTAAGTTTTGGGGATTTAGAAACCTCTACAGTAGATGTGTATAATTGTACAGAAGACATTTTGTAACATGGGTTGTGCTTTGGACCCCTTCCCTGAGTGGATGAATCAGATGATGAAAGAGAATTCAAAGAGAACTCAGTCAAAACTCTATAAAGGATGCATCTGTTTGACAGAATGAGTGTCTACTATTGTCCTCATATCTTCATCAGTATAATGTTGATTTTGCATTTAAGACCTAAACATTGAGCGGGACCTTTTTTTGAGCCTGTGTGTGTATGAAGTTAATATGTACAGACTTGGTCTGAGAAACTCCCAACTCAACACCTCTGACTTTAAATAATTATATCATGCTTTACAGGGCGACTCACAGCATCATATTTTAGCCTGTGTTTATTCTCCTGACTCAGCAATGCCACTTCTCTCAATATTAACAAGTAATCTTATACAGTGCAGCTTTAAATAATAAAATATTGATACTTGTGTCATTATTTCACCAATGTAGCAATACTCAGGCTACTCTACCCACCTCCATGTAAAGACCAAAATAATGTGAACTCACCCGCCTCCCTCATCATGGCCTCCTCCTCTGTGAAGGTCTGGAGTGGGGGGAACCCGGTACCTACAGGGGCAGCCTGCTCCACAGCTACCGTCCGTGATGACATGGGCCGCAGAGCAGCCTGGCAGGAAGCCCATGGCCGAGACAACTGCCTGCCAACCTAGAAACATTACACATTTCACTCATGCTGTTATTACACACATATATACCCTTTAGTTATTTCGATTCCAGTCGAAATAGCCATTAAGCACTGGTGTGGTGGTGGCGTGTTAGTGTGTGTTGTGCTGGTGTGAGTGGATCAGACACAGCAGTGCTGCTGGAGTTTTTAAACACTGTGTCCACTCACTGTCCACTCCAGACACTCCTGCCTTGTTGGTCCACCTTGTAGATGTAAAGTCAGAGACGATAGCTCATCTGCTGCTGCACAGTTTGTGTCGGTCATCCTCTAGTCCTTCATCAGTGGTCACAGGACGCTGCCCACAGGACACTGTTGGCTGGATGTTTTTGGTTGGTGGACTATTCTCAGTCCAGCAGCGACACTGAGGTGTTTAAAAACTCCAGCAGCACTGCTGTGACTGATCCACTCAGATCAGCGCAACACACACTAACACACCACCACCACATCAGTGTTACTGCAGTGCTGAGAATGATCCACCACCCAAATAGTACCTGCTCTGTGAGGGTCCATGGGGGTCCTGACCACTGAAGAACAGGGTAAAAGGGGGCTAACAAAGTATGCAGAGAAACAGATGGACTACAGTCTGTAACTGTAGAACTACAAAGTGCACCTATATAGTAAGTGGAGCTGATAAAATGGACAATGAGTCCAGAAACAAGGAGGTGGTTTAATATTATGGCTGATCGATGTATATAGTGGACCTCATGGAGTGGAAGTACCAGGCAGGCGTTTCCAATAAAGTGGACAGCTGGTATAGACTTCAGACTCGAGTGTGAACAAACGTAACTATAATCACTCAGAACTCTTAAGAAAAGTACAAATTCATGTCACTGAGTAAATGAAACTGGCTACTATCCAGGTTTGCACACACTGCCCATGTATTAGTCAGCTACCTACCGCTGCAGTCTAATCTGAACCGATGTAGCTCACAAGCTATTATTAAGTTAGCCACGCGGGCTACGTGGCTAATGTATTTCCACAAACATCGCCATTACCTTCCTTCAGATTGGACAGACGTACAGCAGCGGTCCGCAGTAATGTAATAATAAACGTGCTGTTCAAAACACATAGAAATGTGCAGGTTTATTCACCTTTCCGAGAATCCTGGTGAAGGGCGCCGCCATGACCGACTTGTTTACATACGGGCTCTTATCTTCGATTACGTCCAAGGGCTGAACCGTTCGGCTGAAATAACATTCATTTATTATTATTATTATTATTAGTATTATTATTTAATTTTACTTACTTTATCTGCAAATCGTTTTATTCCTAAAAAAAATCACAAAAACAGAATTTTTTTTTACTTTACTATTATGTATTAGTTATTCATCTTTTTTACTTGTTTATTTGATTGTATTTCACTTCGTGTTGTTTCAGAGTATTTTGCTGCTGTTGATTCACTCAACGTAGTGGTGATGTGCGTCATATTTGTTATGAATAATTGCTTCAACAAAATAAAATGTAAAAAAAACACGTGGTTTTTTTTTAGAAAATATATAAACGTATTTATCTTCCACTTAATATCTATCTCGCCGATGTTTTTAATTAAATACTTTCACAGTAGTTGTTTAATAAAGTCGTGTATGCGGCGTATGAGGACTTTTCGCTTGCTTTTTATTTCAACCGGAACCTGCGATTTGGGACTCTTTTCATCCTCGCATCGCAACAGCGGCAGCGTTCAGTTAGCCGTTAGTCGTAGCCGTTAGTCGTTAGCCGTTAGCTCAATGTGAGATAAATAAACGCGTTTCGTGTAAATTCAGACATTTTGCGATGAAGATCAACGTTTAAGGAGACCAGCTGTTATATTTAATCAGGCTTGGTGGCGCGCTGAGAGGTTTTCAGGGGTATTTCTTTAACGTCCTCCCGCCGTGGCTTGTTTTTCTGCTGGTGGGTCGCCCAGGTGATGTGAACACGCAGGTAAGAGTCATATCGAGACAGGTGATCATGTTTAGGCTGGTGAAGATCAGACAGAGTCGGACTGTCTGTAGTGAAGTAGGAGTGCTGACGGTTTCTGCAGCACCGCCTGATATCAGGGCTGCAGCTGCTGAAAATGATAATAACAATAAAACATTCTGAGCTTGATGATAATTTGAGCATAGCAGAGACCCGTGTGGGCTTGTTTCAGACCAGAGTTTGCATTTGTATGTTTTCAATAAACCCTGCTTTGTTTCAGTGAACGCCGTGTTTTCATTACAGGGAGCTGAAAACTGGCCGCCTTGGGGCGCCTCGGTAAAACACACGATGCGAGAGGAAGTATACGCAGAGTTGAAGGCCAGTTTTGAGCCCCTAAAGCAGCCTAATACTGTTTTTAAACCTTAAAATAAGCTTTAATCGTAATAACAACGTTTCATTAACCGTTATCTCCCGCTCTGTGTGCGTTGCAATATATGCTGTGCTCAGGTCTTGTCGGAAATACCGGATTTACCAGATGAAACACATGAACACCACTGTAGTGTCGTATCTACCAGTGAAAAACTGGTTGTATTTCATATATTCATCAGCCACAACCTTAATACTAACCACACACTAGAAGAGCTGTGAAAGACTGAAGTCTGACGCCCTCTCTCATCTAAAGACAGTGTCACAGGTTTTAGTCACAGAGTATGATATTGCAAAGACTGTGAATCTTGCAGTGTCACTATTTACAAGACTGCAACTAGATTTTTGAGATGATGTCCCATCATACACCTGGTGGAAAGTTACAAGCAGGTAAACACTTTTCCTTCCACTCTGTAGTGGTACAGATGGGAAGATATGTTGGCGGGACATGTAAAGATCTGAGGGCTCAGCCCAGTTCACTGTGGAACTGTATATTCTAGCATGTCATCACCCAGAACTTTTATAATTAAACTGTAAAATGTGCAGTTACTTTTTTAGTTCGACATCAAGATTTACACACCAACAAAACATGCAGCGATTCAGCTCTGTTGATTGGGTGTTATGAACTAAACAGAAAGCAAAACAAAAAAGTGGGGAAAAAACCCATTGATGATTCTTATATATCAGGCATAACATTATGACCACCTCCTTGTTTCTACGCTCATTGTCCATTTTATCAGCTCCACTTACTATATAGGTGCACTTTGTAGTTCTACAGTTACAGACTGTAGTCCATCTGTTTCTCTGCATACTTTGTTAGCCCCCTTTTACCCTGTTCTTCAGTGGTCAGGACCCCCATGGACCCTCACAGAGCAGGTACTATTTGGGTGGTGGATCATTCTCAGCACTGCAGTAACACTGACGTGGTGGTGGTGTGTTAGTGTGTGTTGTGCTGGTCTGAGTGGATCAGACACAGCAGTGCTGCTGGAGTTTTTTTAAACACCTCAGTGTCACTGCTGGACTGAGAATAGTCCACCAACCAAAAATATCCAGCCATCAGCGTCCTGTGGGCAGCGTCCTGTGATCACTGATGAAGGAGAAGACGGCCGTCCTGACCACCTCACACTAAACGATCGAGACGACGCGAGTGCGATGCAACTCTAGCAAGACTCTTATGATTTTATTCCGACATTGGAAATTTGTCTGCGACAGTGAAATCGCTTGAAATGCCGTTTGGTATAAGGCTGGTGTAACACTGCAGGCTAAAACCATCCACACATGGAAATACAGATATAAGCACATTATATGATACATAACTGCATAAAAAACATTACTCTTCTCATAAGCATTTTGTGCAGTAATGCAAAATACACAGACCCTCTTAAATGACAGAAAAAAAACAAAAGTAAACAAAAACAGTATTTCTAATGTATCTAACTTATTTCCAACCAAAACCACTTGGAACAAAAATTGGGTCATTGGACTTAGGAGGTCGTAAGTAGGAACTTCTGAGAAGAACTTGAAGGCAGCGTCAGTAGAAATATGATTCTCCAGGTTGGAGGCAGCAGTGCATATTCTCATCATGAACTCTAGTTTGTGGAATATATTGGTGATGACTAATTTCATGTACCTTTGCCCTGTTGTTGAGATGTCGGATTACCTGCTCAGAAGCTGTGACACATCACGGTTGGACCATGGGTGAGAAGAAACAGGAGCCGCTGGATTTGGTGAAGGACTTCCAGGAATACCTCAATCAGCAAACACAACATATTAACATGATCTCGCGCTCTGTGGACGAGGAGAAAGAGCCTCAGGATCTCCAAGCAGGTAAGAGGAAAGGATGCTCTATTGCCAACAAGCCTGATCAGAAAATAAAGAACACGACATGGCTAATCCAGAAAGGCGAGAAAGCATGAACAGTTTATTGAAGAATGAAAACTGAATAGAAACATTCCCTCTAACCCAAATGCTTATATCAGAGGTGCCCAGACCTGGAGAGTTTATATCAAACACATCTGGCTCTAACACTTGGATGCCTTTAAAGGCCTTCATTTCCTGCATCAGGTGCTGGATTAGGGGTGGTGTTAGACTCTGCAGGGTGGTAGATCTTCTGGACCAGGACTGAGCACCCCTGGCTTAAATGGTTTGTAATATTGTAAGCTTACTGGACAAAAAAATTAGTCGCTTGTGACTAAAACGTACCTAATAGCTTCTTGATAATTGACTTCTAGAAGCAATTCTTGCCTGGAAGCGAATCGATTTATATTCACCAGCCGTGAAACATGGTGGTCCCTGTCTGTGAGTTTCGTCTTTCGACCACAATTCTGACCAGGTTTTCCTGGGACTGTATGACCGTACGCTTCGATACACCTGCAAATTCAGCTACTTCGTTCACACTGTGGCCTTTGACACGCTCAGATGCAGTCACTCTTTTTTGTCAATCAACTGCTTTGCGACCCATTTTCCACACATTGAACGAGACATTCACTGCACTGTACCACATTTTCTCAATCTATGAATCCTGTCGCACACCTCGCAGGTATTTATAGCCCGATCATCCTTGTGCAACGACATCTGCAGGAGCCTGAAGTTACCACCTTAAACATGCAAGGTGACTATTTTTTTGTCCATGGAGTTTATGACATATTGTTATCTATAAAATAGAGCAAAATTATGCTCAAAATTATTTGTGCATGTTTATAGAAAAAGGTTTATAATAGAGGAAAACCAATAAACTCAAACTCATTTAACTGGTGCACTTTTTTCTTTGGATGCTACTTAATATGCATGAATTGATCAGCCTTCTTTCCAAAATATTTACATTTTGAGATTTTCTACTAATTTGACATCAATTTCAATGAGAGTAACTAACTGAGAGTACTAGCTGAAACTAACTGATCTAAGTGGCGCATGTCAGCCCAGTAAAGATAACGTTGGGCTAAAAACAGAAAACAGATCATCTTGTGGAAAAGAGGGAACATTTCAGTGATGTTAAGTACGGTATAGTAAATCAATGCAATGCGGAGCGAGTAGTTCAGTAAAGAAACAGTCTGAAGTGTCACAGAGTTGTGTAATTTTCTTTACAGCAATGTGTGAAGATGAGCAGACTGGACTGGAGCGAGCCTCCATCAAGGTGTCCCTGGACAACGCTGCGTTGGCAGACAGTTTCCAAAGGACAGATGATGGGAAACTGAAGTGTCGTTACTGTAATTACGGCAGCAGGGGCATCCAGAGACTCATCGAACACATACGCATCCACACAGGTAACACAAATAATGAAAAGTTTGCAGAGCATGTTATTTATTATCGTCCACCCCTAATTCTTCAGTGATATGAAGCTGAAGTCAGCTGTTTGTCAGCTTCTTGTTCGAGTTTTCCCGTCCCACCTTAAATGGAGCAGCAGTTCTGACACCTGAGGCACCAGAAGACTGCTGCACCATTTAAGGTGGAATGGGAAATTTAGCTAGCTGCTACCGAGACATCAGCACTACTAGCGATTGTTTATGGTTGTTAGTAGGAAAATGACCATAATACATTGAAACAACATTAAACTAAGATAATACAGTGGTTATCGTAATTTTTTCACAGAGAAAATTCTCACATTTGTGGGTTTCTTTGGTCTCTTGTTCAGCCGTCTTGCCAGTTTTTTCCTCATAACACCCATGTAGTCTCTGAAAAACCTCAGTTTGGAGGGCCATGTAGCCCTAACACTTCGCCCTACCCCCCTCTCAACAAAAGTCAGGACACCCTACCCCTAGACATGAATGTTCAAAACAGAGGGGTAGGGGCTAAGCAGTAGGGCCGAGGAGTGAAATGGGCTTGTGCCTTATTTTCATGCTATGTCATTTCGGTGCGCATGAGCAGTAGCGTGTTATTATGAATATAGTAATGTTCATATTTTGATTCCTTAATGACCTCCTAATTTATAAGATCCAGTGACCTCCAGAGTAAAATTGTATGCAGGACAAAAAGGAATGAAAATCCCATTTGTTTTTGTCATGGAGAAAAATAGACCTGGAGTTCCTAAGCTGGGCACGATGTCGACGTCAGAGTGATGCACGACTTCAGAGGTCTGTGCCATAAATGTGAATGATCACCTGTTAATCCTGACTGATCGGTTTCTTCTCTCCTTGTGTGTGTAAAGGTGAGAAACCCCACCGTTGCCGCCTGTGCCCGTTCGCCTCTGCTTATGAGCGCCACCTGGAGTCGCACATGCGCTCTCACACGGGCGAGAAGCCCTACAAGTGTGATTTGTGCTCCTTCCGCTGCAGCGACCGCAGCAACCTGTCGCACCATCGGCGCCGGAGGCACAAGGTTTTCTCCACTAAGTTGGTGCACCACTCCTCGCTGGCCAAAAAGAAGATGCTGAAAAATTCCAGCTCTGTTGCTTATGGCCATCAGCACCTTGTTAGCCTCAGCCCTCCATCCATGGTGGTGCAGAACAATATGGATGGTTTCCCTCTGCATACAGACGCATACGAAAACCTGGCAGAGCTCCGCAGCGTTGGAGTATCTACGGACTCATGCGCGTTAGCCAGTCTGTCCTCTGAGGAGCAGGATGCGGATTCGTCTTGTAGAGATGAGAAGCCCATACTTATCCCTCCTGTCTCAGGCCTTCCGTCTGTGAGCACAGCTCAGCCTCCTTCAGCCTCCACTCCGGACCTCCACTCCCACAGTACGAAGAGCGTGAGCTACAGCCAGCCCAGCCTACCTGCTCCCGCGTCCACTGCTTCGTGCGTTCAGAGCTCCGCAAAGCCCCCGGAGATGCTGTACACCTGCTTACACTGCCAAATGTACTTCGCAGACAACATCCTCTACACCATCCACATGGGCTGCCACGGCTACGAGAAGCCGTTTCAGTGCAACGTCTGTGGGTACAAGTGCACGGATAAGTACGACTTTGCGTGCCATTTCACAAAAGGGCACCATCAGTAGTGACTAAACGGGGACATGAAACTGTGTCATAAACTGATTTTGTATTTTCATAAGCTCTTAAAAAGCAGGACACCACACTCGAGTAGGATCAGGCACCTCACAATCAAGTCTAGTGGTGAGTTTTTAGTGGAATTCGGTGGAACTTTAATAAAAGAAAGACGTGCAGATTGTTTTGAAGAAAAATGGTACGTTCTACAGGAATTTACCATGAGATTTTTCCACTATGTCAGTGATTAGAACCACAACTTCCCTGTGTCTGTAACGTAAACATTTCTTTATTTTACATGTGTATTGTGAGGTTTTTTAGATATAGTTTTGGTGGCGCTAAAATGGTGGAGAATCTGGAAAAATCAGTTTTCTCTGGGTGCTGGTTGTCCTTACAGTTGCCTGTAGCTCTCCACTCTGCACTTACTTTCCTGCTGCCGTGATTGAAATAAGTAGCTATTTAATATTTGCTGGCATTAACATAATCTCTCTTGTGGTGAAGCACTGATCAAAAGCAGTAACATTCAATACAAAATACCCCCACGGTCAAATGACATGTTTTGTTGATTTTCTGAATGAAGCATAATTAGCCATAACTTTTCCACAGGCTACATTTCAATTTGTTTTCGATATGTTCTGCAAATTAATAGAAATTATCCATTAAAATGCACTTTGACCAGGGAGTTAAACCTTTTATATATGACTGTAGGTCAGAATATAACTTCAGAATCCAAATAGAGGTGGCATCGTACCACTTTCTGTTTTAAACTAATACTAATATAAAATTATACGATCATCTAAAAATAGGCAATTATAGGAAACTACTCAAACACTATTGGCTCCACAGCTAACATCACCTCACGCTGTGTGAGTGAGTGCTTTTCCAGGATAGATTCGTTACAGGACTGAATCCTGATTGAGTCTTTCGTTTTTCTCTCCAACATCAGATCCAGCATTTTTAACCTGCAGTCAGCGCAATACTCGCCGATACCAACGTGCCATCTCTACACAGAGGCGTCTTAACAAATGACCTGACAACCAACTGATAACTTGGTAGCAGTGAATGCGTTTACATGCGCTTAATAATCCGATAACTGCAGAAAATCAGATATCATGATGTCAGTAATCTGATCAACAGGTTTACATGCACTTGAGTAATCAGATAATGGGAAACTCCATGTCTACATGAGTCAGGCAGTAATCAGATTTTTGCTTTGCAACCAGCCAGTAAACTAACAGAAGAAGATGTGAACATAATGTAAAACTCAAACTTTACCTGAAAATATGAACATACATCATCTAGAAGATGAAGAAAATTTAAATCCTTCTTTCGTCAAGCATGTATTTGGTTTCAGCATCGCTCTGAAAGTGTTTTGCTGCGCCTCGCGCCGACGCTGCTCACTTATTTCCCGGGACCGCCGTCTGTTGTCACACATGCACAGACTGAGAAATCCGAAAGAAATCAGAGTAAGAGTTCACACTTTGAGAAATCTGATTACTGAGCTAAAATCCAGCCTCTTTATTAGATTTCTTAATCGGATTTCAAAACCTTACTCCGGTCTAAGAAATCAGAGTATGCTGCTTACAGCATGCCCATTTGAATAATCGGATAACTGCAGAAATCCAATTATGATCAGATTATTGATTGCATGTAAATGCACTCATTAACACCATTAACTGCTAGTTTGGGCCACTGCAGACCAGAAAAGACATGACAAGGAAAAGTAGCACAAAAAGAGAACTGATTTTTTTACCACCATTGTAGCACTCAGTACTTTTGCTCTCTCCCATGAACACTGAATTCCTGAGTACAGGTGTGCTTGGACCTGAAATAGAGCAAAAACATGGACAGCCTGGCAGTCCTCCAGGACCAGGTTGGGGAGCACAGGTCTAGAGATCAGGGGCCGGATTCACAAAAGCTTTCCTAAGGAAAAAAAACCATGATCTTAAGACGGCCACTAAAAGGTTTTCGTATGTAGGCTGACTGTCAACATCAAGTTAATTTTACAGATTACAAGAAATAATACCTCATTTACATTAACTGGTTATTCACATCAGCGTCTGGGGATCAAAATCGAGCCAAACATTAAAAAATGTAGCAAACAGAAACTACACATGTGAATCCAGTCCCAGGTACAGCACTCATGGGTGCTGCACGCCAGTGTGACACTTGGATTACTTGCTGTTTGTTAGAGAACAGAATGGCAGTCCATTCCTGCCTGGTACAGGAGAAAAACTCACCTGTGTGGTTTTCCTTCAAAATATTTACTTACAATCTTAATAATGACATTTCCCAAAATACAGACTTAGTACATCAAAATAATGACTTATTTTCCCAAAATACAGACTTACTGTGTCAAAATAATGACTTTTCTCAAAATACAGACTTGCTGTATCATAATAATGACTTATTTTCTTGAGATATTGACTTAGTATGTTAAAGTAATGACTTATTTTCTGAAAGAATTGACTTAAAATCTCAAAATGACATTCTCTAAATATTAACCTCGTATCTTAAAAAAAAAAAATCATCTCAAGAGTTTGAGTTAAGACTAAATTCTGGCGCACTGTCAAAATAACGAGTTCAATAACGTGATATTAAGTCATTAGTTTGACATATTAAGTCAAACTTTCTGGTAAAAGTTTGTAATCATTTTTAATTTTGAGATACTAAGCCTTTATTTCGACATAATCAGTATTTCAAGAAAATAGGTCGTTGTTTTGACGTAAGATTTGGGAAATACGTAATTATTTTGAGATTATTTTAACATTTTGACGTATAGTTGCCAGAAACGGAGAAGAAGGAAAAGTCGGAAGTGACTTAGAGGGAACAGGCTTCCCCGGGATTGTGAGCTGTTAATGTTATTGTGATGCACTTGCATTAAAAGTGGATGAAGGAAATGTTAAGAAAAGTACGGAGTCGTTTGGTGAGCGTTTCAGTCTCGCAGATATGATAAGATGGTCCAGTAGTAACTCCATCCTCCTCTCTCTTTACAGCCTGAATGCCTGAGGGATTGTCTCAAGTTTTTGTGCATGCAAAGAAGGTCGTGTTACTGAGTACTGAAAAGAGTACAATGTACTGTCTGGAGTACTTTCAGTTTCAGAAATCTTACCCTCCAGAAATATGTGGCCTGGGACAGACAGGTGTTTTCATTGATTATGCCAGGATGTTGAGAAGGAGGAATACTCCAGACACTGTGTGTGCATTGAGTTTTGTAGCTCTGCAGCTGTAGCTAAAGCTGAGACTGCCTTTTGTGCTGGATTGTTTCTATACTCCTGTATAGCAGATTTGTATGGTTGATGATTGTGAGTAATATTGGTGTGTCCCAAAAGGCTACCTCGCCAGTTACAAGTCCAGCTGCTAACAGTCTACGACACTGTGTAGCAGCTTTTGCATAGACCTGGCTTTTCATAAGAATAATAGAAAGGCGCCCTGAAACTTTGGACCTTTTAATATTACTACTATTATTAATAATAAACATCTTAATATTTTTGTTTTACTTTTTTCCCCTCTTCACTGCAGTTCTTTTGCATTTAACTACCTTCGTTAAACTAAAAATAACAAGCTTTTAGAGCCACAACAACAGAGTAATGCCACTGTGTTCTCTGTAAAATCAGGCCAAGGTGCAGTTTTAACAGCTCCACACTGGAGCGATTCTGTCAGAGCACTTGATTGTGTTTCAAGTAATTATCTCCATAATCATCATTTCATGAGACATGGGTGATCATAATATCGGCAGATGTTTAGTACAGTAACTGCACTATACAGGGTGATTCAAACAGATTCATCAGATTTTAAAATGATTTATTTCACTTGTAGATCTTTACAGAACAATGCAGTGAACTGTAAATGGTGTAAATGAGCATAAAGGTTATGTAATTGTACAAGGTCTCAGTATGAACCTCCTCCAGCTGTACAGACAACATCAACACCATAGTCAAACTCATCCCATACTGGGTTGAGCATGTCGGGTGTCGCTGCACTCACGGCTCTTTCAGTGCGATTTCGGAGATCATCCAGTGTTGTGGAACTAACGACGAACGCTCTGAGCTGTTGGAGGTTCACTGCCCACAAAAATCACACTGCACAGTTATGACTGATTCACTCTTATTGAAGTGGAGAACGCAGAACGCTTTCTGTTCAGGGTTCTTATCTCCTCACAGACTGAAGGGAGCCATCTTCTGGTGACGGTCAGAAACTCTATGACCCCCTCTTTCAATTGGTATGTGATTGGTTCCTAGACGCCTCACGGTTGTAAAAATATGGCGCTTTGAAATTGGATGAATCTTTTTGAATCACCCTGTACCTGTTTAGTTCAGATAGAAACCTGCGCCTGCGTAGCTGCCGTCCTGAAGAATTCAGTTCTAACTAGAGTGGTAAATCTCAAACTTCACAATGATTTGATTAAGATTTTCATACATGATTCAGCAGATCATAATCCCCAGTTTGACCATGTTCTATGATTCAGCAGATCATAATCCCCAGTTTGACCATGATCTGTGATTCAGCAGATCATAATCCCCAGTTTGACCATGATCTAATTTATTCATTATTACTCAAACATCACTGGAAAATCAATGCACTAAGTTTGAAAATATCCAGAGAATTCTGTTTTGGCCAAAAATGAGGACTTACTTTATCAAACATAACATTATTGTTATAATCAATAATAAGTGCTTCTAATGTTTCCGAAATCAACGCAGTTGAATCGCCACTTTTAACTCAGTGCATCACAATACATTTTTACACCCCTAGTACCGCAGCCTTCATACAGTCCTGCACAAAAGTGTGCAGTGAGTTCACATTTCCTCTACAGGGAGCGAACTTTAATATGACATTTTTTTTTTAATTAAAGGTGCCATAACTTCTGCACAGGCGATGGTATATGTTTTTTCTCCAGTATGTTAAATTCTTCAAACGAACAGAAATTGTGCATAAAATGTGTAGATGTGTGTTCTCTGCAGAGGATGTGTTACTTATTTACACTTAGAAAAGCAACAAAATTTAATTTGACCAAAACTCACACAGTGCACTTTTATTTATTTATTTATTTTATTTTTTCAAGTTTTGGAACATCTTTTTGAACAGGCTGAAACAAATTGTGTGTAGCAGCTCCTCAGTATAGTCCACCCAATATAATGTGTGTGTTATTTTTTTTTATTTGTTTAATTTTGATATATTTGGCACACCTGAACTCAATTTCCAAATCCCACACAAAACCCACAGGTGCTTCATTTCTTCTTGTAATGACTTGTAACTGAGATTTGTTTGTGGACAGTAAATATTGTCTTATTCTAATAACTTATAACAGCGTAAGAGATTATGACTAAAGACAACTCAGTGTTTTTTTAAACATGTTTACCAACATTGGGCTAAAATGTTGAATAGTTCAAGCCGTACTCAGTTTTTCTACCCTTTCACTCTGACGAGGCCTTTATTTTATTATAATTAGCATTTTATATTATTTTTTATTATTTACTCATTGAATATTTTGTAAATTACTAACATTATCATTTTGTAGAAGTACCTATCAGGGAAGTCAATAATGCTAAATTTACAGACTTTAACTGTTCTGACTTCAGAATTCTGCTCTAAAGCTGGAGTTGGGCGATACAGCAGAATGTCATATCACAATACTTGAAGTTTTTTACGATACACGATATGTCACGATATTTATTTTTTCTGATTTTTCATAAGTTAGAACAGACAAAGTAGTGTCACATTTTAAAAATACTATCAAAAACTATGAATAAATTTATTTGTATTCACCATTTCACACACTGCTGTACTAAACCAGACTAAACAGGACAAATTATGCTCTCTTTGTAATCAAACGTGCAGTTGGGGAGTGACTTTTAAGTACTGATGATGTTCACGAAGTGCTCAGAAAAGCATTTTGGGACATGTTGTGATGTAATTTATCATCATAACGATGGATATTGTGGTGATATTGCCCTTGGCTGAAGAACGTTTCTGTTGTGGTCAATAACGTAAGAGTTACAGCTGTCGTAATATAAGAGGGTGGATTTGGGACTTGTTTTATTCTTGGGTGGTTGTGGCACTTGATAATGACATCTTTTGTAACTCGTGTGATATTAGAGGACAGATGTTTTAGCTGGACAGCTGGATTGTGACTGTATATTGGCTGGATGTTGTGTTGTGGCTGGTAAAGAGGAAGACGGCTCACATTCAAGAACTACTCAATTTTTTCTTTAATCGCTCTTGTAAAGGAAAACAGTGCTTTTTGTATTCACCTTCATCTCAAGCCCATCAGTTCATTTGCATTCACTAATTAAAAAAAATAAATTAAAAAAACTTTTTGACGTGGTGTTTTATCTTCATGGTACGTCACTTAGAAAACTGTAGTGCAAAAAATATTCACAGAATAAAACTTTCAGATTTCACTGAAACAAATTAGAAACTAATACAGCTGTATGCAAAACACACCTGGTCAAAAGGCATGTTCTGATGATTTTAAGGTGAAAATAAGTTTCTATTCTTAAAACAGATGGTTCTTCAAGGGTTCTTTAGTAAAGAAAATGGCTCTGTATAGAACCATGAACATTCAAAGAACCCTTTGCATGATCAAAAGTTTCAGATTGATGGAGATGGTGCTGTATATGGTTCTATATATAGAAGCTTTTTGAAAAGGGTTCTTCTATTGTTAGAATGCCAAGCTTGTAATAATAGAAGAACCCTTTTTAAAAAGGTTCTATATATAGAACCATATACAGCACATTCTCAATCAATCTGAAGAACACTTTCACCATGCAAAGAACTGTTTAATCATGCAAAGGGTTCTTTGAGTGTTCATGGTTCTATATAGAACCCATTTTCCTCATGAAAGAACCCTTGAAGAACCATCTTTTTTTAAGAGTGAGAGATCAGACTTCTGCACAGTTTAGTTCACAATGTCTATTTATTTGCTTAGTTTAACATATTGGGGGGAAATAAATGTTTATTTGTTTAATGTTATTTTCCCACAACTTGAAAATCTCAGCAAATATATAGAAACTGTGCACTAAGAATTGCAGAAAAAGGTCATATTTAAGTGTGATCTAAGTGTGTTAATGTATTTTCACTAAGAAAATCAATGTAATTTAACCCGAGTGTTCAGACTTTTGCATACAGCTGTATATTAACATATAATTAACATTATCAACCACTGTACACTTTAAATGATGAAAGATGATAATTATGATATAACAACAAATATAACTTCAGTACATCCTTGATTCCATACCAAACATTTTTCTTTAGAAGTGATGAAAATCAAATTATTGGTGCGTTATTGGTGATATTATAAGCCGATACTGATAATAGCACAGTTGGCTAATATTATCGGCCAACTGATACATCATTCAGGCCCTACTGGCTTGTGTGCTGTTATTCTCTGTATGAAAATGGACAAAAGTATACTATGTACAAAAGTATTGGGACACACCTCTTAATCATTGAATTCAGGTGTTTCATTTTGTCCAATTGACAAGTGTATAAAATCAAGCACCCAGTCTGCCTTTACACACATTAGTGAAAGAATGGGTTGTTCTAAAGAGCTCACTGAATTCGAGCGTGGTGCTGTAATAGGAGGCCACCATCACAACAAGTTAGTTCATGAAATGTCTTCCCTCCTAGGTATCCCACGATCAACTGTGAGTGGTATTACTGAAAAGTGGAAGCGTTTAGGAACCACAGCAACTCAGTAATGAAGTGTCGGACCACGTAAAGTTACAGAGCAGGTGTGCCGGGAGCTTCATGGCAGGGTTTCCATGGCCGAGCAGCTGCATGGAAGCCTTACTTCACCAAGCACAATGCCAAGCGTCGGATGGAGTGAAAGCACGGCGCCACTGGACTCTGGAGCAGTGGAAACGTACTCTGTGTAGTGATGAATCAGCTTCTCTATCTGTCAGTCTGATGGACGAGTCTGGGTTTGGCGAATGCCAGGAGAACCTTACCTGCCTGACTGCACTGTGCCAACTGTAAAGTTTGGTGGAGGAGGGATGATGATATGGGGTTGTTTTTCAGGGGTTGGTCTAGAACCCTTAGTTCCGGTGAAGGGAAACCTTAATGCTTCAGCACCAAGACATTTTGGACAATTGTAGCTTCCAACGTTGTGGGAACAGTTTGGGGAAGAACCTTTCCTGTTCCAGCATGACTGAGCCCCAGTGCACAAAGCAGCTCCATAAAGGCCTGGCTGGGTGAGTTTGGTGTGGAAGAACTTGACTGGCCCTCACAGAGCCCTGACCTCAACCCCATCAAACACCTTTGGGATGAACTAGAACAGAGATTGTGAGCCAGGCCCTCTCGCCCAACATCAGTGTCTGACCTCACAAATGCTCTTCTGGATGAACGGACAAAAATTCCCACAGATACTCTCCGAAATACTGTAGAAGCTTCCCAGAAGAGTGGAAGCTGTTACAGCTGCAAAGGGGGGACCAACTCCATATTAATGCCTATGGATTTAGAATGAGATGTCATTAAAGCTCCTGTAGGTGTCCCAATACTTTTGTCCATACAGTGTTTGTTATACAGCTATCTGTCTGTACTTCAGTCCATGTTTCTAGATAACAGTGCGTCATACAGCGTCAGAAACCACAAAGTTTATTTCTGATTACTTAACTCCACACGGTTTGAGGCCAGTGTGTGCTGATTCATGCATGCTGTTAGCACAATGCTAATTAGTGGGTTACAAGCTTCCATTACATATTATTCACATTAGCCTTGTAGCACCAGTGCAGACACACTGTCCTGGCTGATAGACCACACTGGGGTAAGAGGGGAAACTAAGTACACTTGTTTAAATTAGTGTAATAAAAACAAAGCCTCTTAAATTAAACTGCTCTCTTATGCTGTTGTGGCTCCCGTGCCAATGCCGTGTCTCTCCAGCACGTCGTCCCTCTGCTGCTGAAACACGGTGAGCGCTCTGCTGACCACTCGCTCCACGTCCACTGTCTCCCCTTCGGACACAGGCAGCTCGTGAAGGACGTGTCTTCTCAGCTCCTGCAGGAAATGACCCTTCTGCTCACTCAGATCCTTCGCCAGGACCCTCAGAACCTCAGAGGACGCTTTACTCTCTGACAGCACAAGAGCAAACCAGCACTTTTTTCAGTAAGTCTTTATAACACACACTAATATATAAGGGCTGTGACCATTGGTTATATTAGTAATCAGGTAATCTATGAATTATTTTGAAGAAGACAGTTGTATGCAAAAGTTTGGGTGATCATAGTCAAATAACGTGTTTTGTTGATTTTTTAAGCAAAAAAAGTTTAACATCCTCTACAAAGAACAAACTTTGGCATTTTGGGCAAATCTTAGTGCAGAGTTTCTATTAGTTCTACAGTTTCTGAGTTTAACATGTAGGGAACAATAAAATGTGTCATAACTTTTGCATAAGCTTACTTTTTTTATATGTTACTTCAGTAAACAGTAATAGGCTCTCTAATAGTGCATAAACGCTGGGTAAAACAAATTCCGGACAGTTTTTAATCTCAGAAATACAGGTGTTTGTATCACTTCAGCTCACCACAGAGTGGTGTCTCACTTTAACTTTGTCATAGATCCCAAAATTTGAATCGGAGGTTTTGCATAGAACTGTTGGTGAACCAAACACACAACAATGTGGGAGTACAAACTTAACAAAGGATATAAATGATTCGTGGAAACATTCCTTCACAGCTATTAGAGTACAATAATGTCTACAGAGAGATAAGCTGATGGAGATGAAAATAACTATAACCAAAACGCTAGATCAGCCATGTTAGCTGGAGATGCTGAAACTGATTGCTAACAATAAACTAGTTGGCAAAAAGCTAAACGCGCCACTTTAGACGTTTTACACAAACACTGTAACCAGTAAACGAACATCTGCTCCCCTCTGAGCTCTCGCTCTCTCAGATACTGACAGCTTTTGAGGGAGAAAATGAAAACTGTTCCTCTGAAAGCGGCTGCAGCAGCAACTTTAAAGGACGAACTGCACATTAACGTTAGTCAGCAGTGCTGAAATGCAGACACAGAGGTTCTTTTCCTCTGTCTGACAAAGTTTATTCCTTTGCTAACTTCACAAACTCATTTTTCCACTACTCATCATCAGCTGACAAACCGCTGAAACTGAAAGATAAGGTTGTTTTTGTTCCAAACTCGAACACTTGAGTGAGCTGTACCCACTCTACTTAGCGTCGTTACTGTCATTGCTTTAGCAGAAGCAGTGTTACCCTGCAGTCAATACTTCCAGCAGAAAAAATGCAGAGATGTGAAAAGGGCCTGTTGTGCCTTAAACCTGTATTGGATGAACTTATTTTCATTTAGAACAAACTGTACTTCAACCAAAAGTGCCCAATCTTTTGCATACAACTGTACATACAGTACTGTGCGAAAGTCTTATGCAGCCATGAAAACTGTTTAAAACTATTTATCTTGGCAGGAAGTGTGTTTTTGACAGAAAAAAGACTTTAATGTTAGAACAAAGCAAATAAATTATAAATACAGTAAAGCATGAGTTAACAAGAGCTTTTTAATATGTTGGTTGAAAAGAATAACTGTTTAGTTCCTGACTACTCGCTGCACTTCAGCCATTGCATGGATTTATTATATACAATCAGCAAGGGTCAATTAGGTAAACTAGGTGTTAGATGGTAACTATAAATACAGGAGATGTTTGGAAATTACTTTATTTGTATTTCCCTGTTGTCAGAAAGAAAACCTTGTATCTCCGTTTTTGTTGTTTTTTTGGTTTTTGACATAATTTGAAAATACCTGTTGCCCTTTACATTGTGTGTAAATTTCGTGATGAATGGACCAAAAGAAACGGCCCAAAATGACTTGGAAAGACGTCTGGTTCCATCGACTTGCATTAAAAGTAAAGTAGGTTTTTTCCTTCTGCTGTAAAGTTACCATTGTGGAGATACAAGGTTTTCTTCCGACAGCAGCGATTTATTCTAATGTTAGTGTTTTTGAACAAATAAACCACTTTCTGCCCAGATGAATGGCTTTACAAGTCATTTTCTCACATGATCAAAACCTATAACACGTAGCTACAGTGACCCCAAAAGTTATTTGGACACTTGGCAAAGAAATAACCATCTGAAACTCACCAGCCGTCTTTTAAAAGAATACTTTACCAAAAAGTAAGGGACATTCTTGGAATAATCTGTTTAAAATAAATGCCAGTTTGACTTTTGACTTTTTCCTAACACAATGAACTTAATACATTTTTAAGTGTGACAAATGTCCAAATATTTTTTGGGGGTCATACATTGTTAAATTACAATTGTGAGTAAGTGATCTAAAAGGAAGTAGAACGTTTCTAAACAGAAAGTGTTGTGTTACTGCTGCCTCCTTTGGAAGCTGATCAGTTATCTTTTTATGATATTGTGGTTATGCTGTATATAGATTCTAATATTACAGCAGTGATAAATGTACCTCTGGCTGTCAGCATGGCCTGAGACACCAACCGCCGGCAAGCCTGGTCTGCCTGGTGCACCACACTGGAGGCACAATGCTCTCTGTCTGCTGCCTAAGAGAGAGAGAGAGATAAAGAGGGAGAAAGGAAGGAAACTAAAATGCTTCATAACGCCTTAATTAGCCATAATTAAACGTGTTTTCTTTTTGCATGCCATGACTGTGAACTACAATGCCACTGTTGTTCTGAATAAGACACATATGGTTACAGACAGATTAAAGTGATACTTCAGCAAAATGTACACAATGTCCCTCTCATCCCAAATGTAGTCGATCAGTCAAGACATGTTTGGTGTATAAAGTTTTCAGTTTTGTACTGGAGCTACGAGGCTAATGTAGCTTTCGTCCATTGTTATAGAAACAGTATGACATACACTGATCAGGCATAACATTATGACCACCTCCTTGTTTCTACGCTCATTGTCCATTTTATCAGCTCCACTTACTATATAGGTGCACTTTGTAGTTCTACAGTTACAGACTGTAGTCCATCTGTTTCTCTGCATACTTTGTTAGCCCCCTTTTACCCTGTTCTTCAGTGGTCAGGACCCCCATGGACCCTCACAGAGCAGGTACTATTTGGGTGGTGGATCATTCTCAGCACTGCATTAACTCTGACGTGGTGGTGGTGTGTTAGTGTGTGTTGCGCTGGTCTGAGTGGATCAGACACAGCAGTGCTGCTGGAGTTTTTAAACACCTCAGTGTCACTGCTGGACTGAGAATAGTCCACCAACCAAAAACATCCAGCCAACAGCGTCCTGTGGGCAGCGTCCTGTGACCACTGATGAAGGACTAGAGGATGACCGACACAAACTGTGCAGCAGCAGATGAGCTATCGTCTCTGACTTTACATCTACAAGGTCGACTGACAAGGTAGGAGTGTCTAATAGAGTGGACAGTGAGTGGACACAGTGTTTAAAGACTCCAGCAGCACTGCTGTGTCTGATCCACTCGTACCAGCGCAACACACACTAACACACCACCACGTCAGTGTTACTGCAGTGCTGAGAATGATCCACCACCCAAATAATACCTGCTCTGTGAGGGTCCATGGGGGTCCTGACCACTGAAGAACAGGGTAAAAGGGGGCTAACAAAGTATGCAGAGAAACAGATGGACTACAGTCTGTAACTGTAGAACTACAAAGTTCACCTATATAGTAAGTGGAGCTGATAAAATGGACAATGAGCATAGAAACAAGGAGGTGGTCATAATGTTATGCCTGAACTGTGTATAGTGTCAGAAACCACATAAGTAGGTCTATTAGAAATTAATTAAAGTGGATTCCTCTAAATTCTGACTGAAATGTAAACAAAGTCATACAGTGGTTTGATGTAAAATGCTCCGTTCTAAAGAAAGTGACAGACGTTGGTTCACAGTGGAGGTGATACGAACCAGACATTTAATGTTTCTAAAATGCAAGAAATAGTTATGAATGCACAATGATATGAATACTTATCATTATTTGATGATAGTTTGGAGAAAGATCTAGCCATTTTTTTTTATCCATCGATGGCAAAGATGTACTGAAAGGTACTGTATGGCAAAACAGTCCCCAAAAGAAAACTTTATCACTCTCATCATCAGAATTCCATATAAAACTCAGAAGACACATGTAGGTTCACTGGTGGTTTTGGACAGTGAATAATACTAGAATAGTGCATTTCCTGAAAAAACTGGAGAGTGCGCAGCTAAGGCTTCTTCTTAGGCGGTTGCTAAGGTGTTGCTAGGCGGTTGCTATGGTATAAGTGTTGGTTGCTAAGGTGTTGCCATGGTGTACAGGGTCTTTACTGATTTATTTTTAGTGGGTTGCGAAGCAGTACATCGTTGTTGAGTAAAATGAATGGGAGTCAATGGGAGGAACAAGGAATGAAAGGAAGACACAGAGGAGTGCGGGTCAGTATGGAGCTGGATTAGAGCTTTGACACCTGCCCTGAGCAGCACAATGCAGTTTGGTGGCTTTTGGACGCTGTTGGCTGGAGTTAATGCAGTGCTGAGAATGATCCACCACCCAAATAATACCTGCTCTGTGAGGGTCCATGGGGGTCCTGACCACTGAAGAACAGGGTAAAAGGGGGCTAACAAAGTATGCAGAGAAACAGATGGACTACAGTCTGTAACTGTAGAACTACAAAGTGCACCTATATAGTAAGTGGAGCTGATAAAATGGACAATGAGTGTAGAAACAAGGAGGTGGTCATAATGTTATGCCTGATCGGTGTGTATCTATATCTATCTATCTATCTATATATATATATATATATATATATAATATATATATTATATATATATATATAATGACAAACAGATGAGTGCGGGTCAGAACAACATTGCTCTCAGATAGTATATGTGAAATTGTGTCTTTCTAAATTCCCCCTACCCTCTGCTCTGAGTCATCTTGAAATGGACTCAAGGGGTTCTCCAGTGCTGAGGACATCAACTGGAGCAGCTTTTGGCTATAAAAAGAAGAATGAAGAGACCACTTGTTTAACGACAGAATCCACCAGTTTTCACATTTTTGAACAGTTTAAACTGCAGAAACTGTGTAAGCCATCACATTTGCAGTAACGGCCTCTACTCTTCTGGAAAGGCTTTACACTAGATGTTGGAACATTGCTGTGAGGATTTGATTGAGCATTAGTGAGGTCAGGTACTAATGTTGGATGGTCAGTTCTGGATCACTTCAACTCATCCCAAAGGTACTGGACGGAGCTCCATCACTCCAGAGGACACAGTTCCACTGCTCCACAGCCCAATGCTGAGGGGGGGGGGGTTATATATTTACATTCCTCTTTAACTGTAACTAATTTGCTAAGCTCTGTACATTATTTGCAATAAAAATACAGCTTTGATTTGACTGTACAGTACAAGGGTATTGGTGTTTGGGAAACACCACTCTATACATACATGTCCGTGTCTGTGATGTCAGTGCTTATCAGAGTCAGACTGCTTTGCTCCCACTGGTTTTTCTGTGCGTTTTGGAGGCTCGATGCGTTTGGACATCTCTACAATGATCTCATCCGGCACTGGCTGCCCTCTGTCCTGGTTTCTAGAGAGACACACTTCCAACGGACAATGCAGGTACAGCTGGCAGAAACCTGTGGAATCTGTATTCAACGAGAGAGAGATTAGAGATTTCACCTGTTCCAGACTGTAAAGTCTGTTTTACAGGTTGGAGGTTTTGTTTTGCCAGCAATGATTTTTCATGTTTGTGAACCTTTTTTGCTGCTGTCTGAACACAAAACATTGAGGAAAAGCATCAGACTGTCATCAAATTAAGGAAACTGATTTAAAACGTCTCTGTTCGGTTTAAAACGGGATAGTCTTATTATTCTACCAACTAACTACTATAAACGATTTGTTAGGTCGGTTACGGTTATGAGGGCGAAGAACTGAACTGAATCTATATACAGACCCTTAGTTTAGAGTTTAGTTCAATTGAAAAGTCATGAGACACAGATGTTGGTAAGGTTTTGAGTCAGAGCAATAGCTGAGCCTGGGAGGACCCTGTTCACCTACACTTTCTGGCGAGTTGATACACTTCATATCTCATGCTCTGGTAGTAGAAATTGTCATCAAGCAGCACTGCAATTCGTGGAGGTTGAGATGATGATCTGCGCAGGGCAGGTAAGATTTGCTGCTGCTCTACTGCCTGGCTGAAGCACTCCCACACGTTTCCCTCAGTCCGACAGGGGCTGGGTGCCTGAGGATCCTGCAGGAAACTCTCCAGGCAAGTCAGCACGGCCTGCCTGTGCTGCTTCCATCTGGTTTGCTAAAAAACAACAAAGAAATAATAAGCAGACGTTGGTAGTAACTAGTTTTATTATGCAGCTCCAAGTCCGAGTTTGATGGATTTGTAATACTTTTACTTCTATCCAAAGTATATTTGTGCGGAATTGTAAGAACATTTCCCATTTTAGATCTGGCTCATAATTTAGTTCCAACCTACCTGTCTCTATTCAAAGGCTCCTTAAGGCCTTGGTTAGTTGGATCAGGTATGTTAGATCAGGGATGAAACTAAACTCTCCAGGGTGGTAGATCACCCGGACCAGACTTGGGCACCTCTGCTTACATGTATTATTACCTGTCATCAATTCGGGACCTAAAGCAGGGATCTTCAATTGTAACCACAAAAGGGCCGCGGGTTTGAAGACTGAGGCTGAATCCCAAATGGCTCCAAACTCCCAATATAGAAATAAAGGCTTCTACACTTGGAAAGCTGTTTACATTCAGCCGTAAGCTGTACGACTCCCCAGCTAACGTTTGGTGCATTATTTAGGTGTGGAAGTCACAGTTTTATGATCTATGCAGTGCAGTACTGTAGGGAGTAGTGAGCCATTTCACAACGGCTCTTTGCGGATAGGATTCAACATCCCTGACCTAGAACAGTGGTTCCCAACCCTGGTCCTTGAGCACCTCCTGCACATTTTAGTGTTTCCCCTGCTCCAAACATACCTTAACCAATAAATGGACTCATTAACAAATGCTTCATGACTTGACGTGTGTGTATTAGAGCAGGGAAAGCACTAAAATGCAGGGGGTAATCTAGGACCAGGGTTGGGAACCTGTAAGCTAGAGGGTCAATATCTGGTAATCTTCTCTCTATATATACTCTATATATATATAGAATGGTTTTAAATGGAACTATTGCCTTTATATATGTATATATATTATGCTTAAATGGTTCTTTGCATGGTGAAATCGCTCTTCAGATTGATGGAGAATGTGTTATATATAGTTCTATATGGAACCTTTTTAAAAAGGGTTCTATTGTTACAAGCTTGACATCGTAACAATACCAGAGGCCTTTTTGGTGGTTCTATATAGAACCTTTTTGAAAATGTTTCTATATAGAACCATCTACAACACATTCTTCATCAATCTGCAGAACACTTTCACAATGCACAGAACCCTCTAATCATGCAAAGTGTTCTCTGAGTCTTCGTGGTTCTGTATAGAACCATTTTCTTAACCTTTAAATAAGTCTTTATGAAATGTGTAGAAACGTTCTTCTGGCCCTGAAGTGGTTCTGCTATTCTTACAAGCTTTACACTGAAACAGTAGCAGAACACTTTTTGGTGCTACACTGAACCATTTTCAAAAAGGTTCTAGATAGAACTATATATAACACACTCTCCATCAATCTGAATAACCATTTTATCATGCAAAGAACGACTTAGGCATGAAAAGGTTCTTTATAGAACTCATGGTTTGAAATACAACCACTGCCTTTAGTAAGGAACCTTTGAAGAACCATATTTTTTTTTAAGTGTGTACAGTTCTTACCCCCTTTGACAGGCTGTCCCCCGAGCTGAAATCGAAGGCCTCTTCTGCTATGAGGTGGTCGTATGATATGATAAAAGTCCCCCAGCCCTGTTTACTGATCTGAGCAGAAGCTGCCTGGACAAGGCTGGATTTACCAGAGGCAGGTAACCCGCACAGCACACACAAGCAGACTGTAGCAGGCATGGTGGGATCATTAGGACACTGTCCAGTCCCACTGAGCATGAAGACCAGTCCAGAGTAGCTTATAGAGTATTATTCCCAGAGAGGTAACTATCACCTGGGTTAAACGACAAACTACAAGGTAGTCATAACAAGGCTAAAGGACCGCAAATGACAGCTTCGCCACAGCAAATACTGACCTTGTCTGTATTTAATATCATTACTGTTAAAATGCCCCCATTTTAACCCTTTAATAATTATAAATACTCGAAATTCCCACTGGATGTAGACTCAGCAGTGCAAATGCTCTCTGTAACAGTAACACGGTGTAGCGCCCGTTTATGAGGCTGCTACAAATATGACACCTGTTATGTAAATAATGTTACGTAATGTGATCCTTTAACCTTACAGGTATCGCTATAATTTGTAAATCAATGTCGTTTATATGATCGTTTAAACATAACGACTAACTTGTACGCGAAAATCCAGTTTACTCTCCCTCCTTCCTAGCACTGCAACTGTCCTGGTTGCAGCTCTCCTCATTGGCTAGGGTAGAGCACGTGATATACAACGTCATCGAAACGTTCCGCTAAGGCGTGTAGGGATTTGTAGTTCTTTTACGCGTTACGGCTGAACAAGCAACCGTAAAAAAAAAAAAACACAAATACGAGTATTTTCTCTGTTAAAAATTACGACAACTATCGTATTATCTTAGCTTAATGTCGTTTCAGTGTATTATGGTCCTTTTCTTCATAACAAACATTAAAATTCGCTAATAGTATGCTGATGTCTCGGTAGCTAGCTGGCTAAATTTCCCATTCCACCTTAAATAGTCGAGCAGTACCAATGTGTGAAGCGCCAGAATGTAACTTCTGCTCCATTTAAGGTTGAACTGGAAAATTCGAACAAGAAGCTGTACAACAACAACAAAAAGGAAAAACGATAATACATTAGACAATGTTGTGGGAAAGAAGAAGAAGAAGAAGCTGAAGTTGGCTTCTTTGTTTTGGTGGCTTCTTATTCAAATTTCCTTTCCACCTTAATTGGCGCTTCACGTACATTCTGGCACCAGCACACCATAAGTTATTGTTTTTTACTTTTTTATTGATCATAGAGTCAACATTACATTGCATTACAAAGAGTTACCAAGCAACGCAAAACTAAACTAAGTGCACCAGCAAGGATTAAAATAAACTGAATTTAGAGCCAATCAAGGATTAAAATAAACTGAATTTAGAGCCAATCAAGGATTAAAACAAACTGAATTTAGAGCTAATCAAGGATTTGTAAATCTAGGCTTTATTTTAAAGAAAGTCTGCAGAGTTATGTACTCTTACAACAGTTTTAAGAACAGCTACTGAGGTGGCAGTAGTTTAATTTGTCGTCTTATAACTGAACTGACCACACAGCAGAGAAACTGTCAAGTCAAGTCAGGCTTTATTGTCATTTCAGCTCTATACACGTACACAGTGAGACGAGAAGTGCAAAACAATAAAACATATGCAGTGCAGACAATACAGTACAATAAATAAATACAAAAGACTTAGAATAACTACAAAACAGGACACAGACAGTACACGGTGGAGTATGTGGAGCTGTGCAAAGGATGACGTAGCATACTATGATATATTAGCAGCAATTTGATTATTTAAGTACAAATAACAACAGGACTTCAGTACAGAGCCCTCATGTAACCTGATGTGATACATAAAAAAAGTCCCTGACCACTAATTAAACTAATCAACTTTCTACTCCTTTGACTGCTTTGAAGTTTAATCAGTACCTGCAGTTTCAGTGTTTGCCAGGTGATGGCAGCATAATCCCAGTGATGAAAGATCACATTCTGACTCTTTTACTTCACCTTAAAAATGTTGAGTTAGTCCAGAGTAAAACGTAGGCCTACTTAATGGATTCATGTCAAGCAATTCCTTTTTCAACTCTTTTTAGTAATCGTTTAATCGAAAAAACAAAACAAAACAAACAAAAACAAAAACAAAAAAAACCAAACATTTTTTGTTCATTTGGGGTGGATTTTGTTGCAAAATTGCAACCATAACTCATACTTTGCATAATGTAAGGTTTACAGGTATGACTGTGTGTGTGTGTGTGTGTGTGTGTGTGTGTGTGTGTGTGTGAGTGAGTGATTGTAGGAATGCATGTTTTATTTTATCTTATTTTATTTTTTTACTACATGTAAATGTTTGTCTGATTCTGTGCACTGTGAACTCCTGTAACCAAAACTGAATTCCTAGTATGTGTAAACATACCTGGCCAATAAAGCTTGATTCTGATTCTGATTCTGATAAGTTTTAAAGGTTACTCCTTGTGTTTTTAAGAAAGTTTAATTTAGTCTAATATTATTGAGTGTGTAACTCTATAGACTCTCTATAGGATGACTGGTGTGCTATAAATATGAGAGGGAAGTCTGCACAAAACCCTACAGTCTCCTGAATTCCCACCACAAATCACCTGGATCAGGTGTTTTGGGATCTAAATAGGTAAAACATGCGAGTTACAGAGTCTACAAGACCAGGTTTAGACTCATTGCTTATAATAATGTAAAGGGGGCAGTTTTATGTTTGTATGATACAAAAAAAGTGGTGAAAATTGAGGCCCATTGTTGCATTTTTGCAGCATTCACAAAAATTTGTATAATTTGCTTATAGACACAGTTATGAATGAAGTACAGAAATATCACAGTTACAGTTACATAAAACTAAATTAGCTCTAATAGAAGACAGATGCTGTGAAATGCACACTATTACATTTGTTTCACCACATATCTTGCTGTGATACAGATTAGAGTGTGGATTTGTAGTTTTAGTGACATTAAGTCAGATGTAGGTGTAAATAGTGCTTATACAGTTGTAGAAACAGTTTGTCTCTGAGGGTTAAGTGGTTTTATTCAACTCACATAAATACGTTGAATGAAACGATGCAAAATAAATAGGTTGGGGGTATAAAAGTGATGTTTTACATCATCGCAAACCTCAAAAACACTTTGTCAACTTCTGCCCTGTTCCACCTTTTACAGTGTTGTTGGTTTTTCTGTGGTGCTGACAGATACAATGTGCATTAACACTCTAAATCATTGTGCATTAATATATTATTAATGCCTTCAGTATGTATTATTTATTGTGATGTTTATTGATTTCTTTTGTTTTTTTTCTTTTAGGACCACGTTGTCAATTCATCTGAGCCTATATGGTAAGCTCCTCTGTTACACAACATGTATTTTTTCAGTGCTTTTATTTCTCTTTTCTCGAGACATTATGTATCGTAATTATGTGATTATATGAGAAATGGTCATTTTTCTCATGGTAAGTCTTTGGTAGCAGTGAATACATTTTAATGCTGCATATGTTTCTCAAAAATACAACTACTGGCATCCCTGTGTTCAGCAGGCACGGTGCCAAATGCCCTCAATGTGGCTGCGATATGATCTTGCAGTGTGTCTCAGATTAACCTTCAGTTTACTGATGCAAACTGTGAACAGGAATGACCCGGGAATGACCCGGGAAGGACAGGCACAGAGTTTAAAAGCGCAGTGTAATGGGAGCCAATAGGTTCAGTGATGAAGAGAAGTTTTAGTAAATTCTTCCCCACCAACAGTGTAATCAGGTGTGTTGGAGCAGGTAAATCACCAAACTGTACTGGGCTCCAGCCCTTCAGGACCAGAGTTGTGCACCCCAGCTATAGGCTGTATTTCTACTACGGCTCAAAAAACTGAATTTGGGAAACAATGCAAGGAAAGTCAGTGCTCTAGGAGTTACTAGGCCAGCTCTGCTGAAATGATGTTGCTCTGTTGGTGAATAAAACAGGATGTGTTCAAGGCCTGTGCCTCCTTCTAGTCAAGTCAGTTCAAGGTTTATTTATATAGTGCTTTATACAGCAGGTGTTCTCACAAAGCAGCTTTACAGAAAAATCAGCATTAAAGAAAGAAATCCGGGTCTGAGCCCCCATGAGCGTCGCCAGTGGCGACAGTGGCAAGGAAAGACTCCCTAAGAGCAAGAGGAAGAAACCTTGAGAGGAACCAAGACTCAAAAGGAGAACCCATCCTCCTCTGGTCGACACCGGATAGCAAACAATAACACGAGTAATATAAATAAAGTTTTAACATTTGTACAAAATATTAATATACAGAAAAAGGGAAAAGCAGGTGAAGCGATGGCTCTGATTAAATAGTTTGAGTCTGTGCAGCAGCAGCATCAACAGGAGGGTCAGTTCATGCAGGTGAGGTTTGCAGTGTTGTACAGCAGGAAGCTCCATGGTGGTCAAACTGGTCCAGGAGACAGGCGAGCAGTGGGCAGATGTTAGCTGTTATGACTGCCAACATTGTTGAAGAAAATTCTCCCACCATCCACAGCCGGGAGTCCAAGAGGGCATAAGCTCTCTCTCTCCCCCTCACTCAACATAGTGCTAGCCAATGCAGGCGTCTGTTAGCTGATGTAACAGAATTAGTAGTGTTCTCCTCCAAGCGTGTTGAGCCGTCCAGTGGTGTTGTTTTAGCAGAGGTTTGAAAATATGCAGTTCATTTGATTCAAAACAATGACTACATTGACTACATAAAATATTTTTTTTCATTAACACCTGGTTTTAAGAGGCAGAGAAAATTCCACACAGATTTGCCGAAACTTTAGTAAATTGAACAAAATAAATAATCAGTCATTCACAGTTCCAATATCTTCACCCTTTTTTGTGTGCTCCTCCCTCAAATGCTATGAGAGAGATTTATTTGATGCGTGTTTAGGCTTGTATGCCAGTTTAGAACATGCCACATGCTTTTTTGGGTGGAATGTGTGTTGAAAGTAGGTCTGCACAATGACATCTCAATCATATCAGTGTTGGCAGATAATTGTTAAAAAATTAATGCATTAAAACAGATAATTTGATTTGCCCAATGTTATGAACCAGGCATAGACAGATGTAAACATTTACACTGGTCACTAAGGCCACTAAGCCAATGTGATAAATTGGCCTAATGTAAGTTAAATCAGCACTACTACATCAACCCTTAATGAGTTGAGTTGGAAATGTCTGTAGCAGATTAAGTTTAGCTGATTGAAGTAAATTGTCTTTTATCAACAATATTGCCTTAATTTAAAAGAAGGCCATTAAATTGTGCAAAAATACTGTCCATAACTCAGTTAGGTTCAGGAAAAGAATTTTTTTTGAGTGCACTGCCAATGAAGAATGATCTTGAGGTGTCATCGTACTTACATTGTACATCATACAAAATCATATTTCAGCCTTGCAAAATCTTTCTTCCACTGTACTCTGAACTTTCCAGTTCATACTTTTCTCATAGTTATCTGGAAGTTATCACTTGCCATGTTAGCTGCTGTTCGGGTGATGTTAACAAAAAGTGTGCTTTGATGCTATTAGTTCTGTTTCAGACCTGTTTTGTTAAAATAGTGAATGTTTGTGAATGTGTAAAAATTCATTTGGTCTGTTAAAAGAGAGAAAAAACCCCACAAACCCCAAGGCAGCTGGTCACTCGAGCCACAAGCTAGTGGCCAAAATGTGAAATCC